ACACCCTTACCCTAAACACTAACCCTACCCCCAAACCCTAACCCCAAACCTTCACCCTAGCCCTAACCTCAACCGCAGACCCTCTAACCCTAACCCTAACCCCAACCTTCTCTATCTATCCTGTAAGTGTACTAGTCGGCCTATCGTTTGTTTTTCAGTAAACTTTCAAGTAGTTACTGAAATTTACAAACACAATACCAAAAACCCTGCAATTGAATGCTTGTAGAAAAATATTAACGCCAACCCTAAGCATAGCCTCATCCTAGCCTTAACCCTAATTCTAACACTAAACCCCGCTAACTCTAGGCATAATTTTACCCTAGCCCTAACCCTGATTGTAACACTAAACCCCTCTGACCCGAAGCAACCCAAACTCTAACCCTAACCAGGTAATGGGCTCCTGCCCTAACCCTATCCTCAACCCTGACTTAAACCCTTTACCATAGCTTAGGATTGGTTTGGGGTTTGGGTTAGGTTTAGGATAGCACAGAGTTAGAGTGAGCACAGGACGAAATAGCATGATTCCGTAATTCGGAAAAATGAAACTCTATGTTTCCACATCATTCACTTCTTCCTTGGACCTGTTATGTTTCCGTTATGATTCCTGAACGGAAATATGACGATACGTTTCCGTTGCATTTCTGTCAACGGAATATTATCATCGCCTGTTTCCGTTACGTTTCCTTGTACGGATTCAAACTTTTACCGTCAAGTAAAACATATATTTATAAAGTGCTGTACAGTTCTTACACCACGTTACCATGAAGACGTGATCGTTCGAGGACAACAAAGGCAAATTGACGTGCATTAGGTGTGTACGTTCGTAGGAATCATAAGAAGTCCTAGAAGCTTCGATGTTTTACACTGAGTTATGTGCATGTTAATTTTGGAACTGTTTCGAAACCTTACAAAATTGAATCTTTTAAACTTACTCTGTGCTTAGATTTTTAAGCAGCTGGATCATTTGAGCCAGTTTAGTCACTCAAACCAGCAATACAATACTAGGCTAACTGGATAGTTTTAGGGTTAGGGTTAGGATTTTCAAGTAGGCACACGCAGTTGTGTGGATATTGTGGTACATGGAGTTTAGTAGAGTGTAGATTTTAGCAGTATTTGCCAGTGTTGACATATTTATAAAATTATGGTTCCAAAGTGCGTGTCACTGTTGAGAACCCAAGAAAATCATGAGAAAGTCGCCGATGGATTAGCCATAAAAATAAGCCCAACTCTGAGTCAATGCCAAACCAGAAGAAAGTTGTGGAACTCGCGCCAATGTAAAAAAAAAAAAAAACAACTGAGGTTCGAAGTATGGGTCGCTAACATCCTATGAAAATCATGGGAAAGTCGAGGAGATTGGTCATGGTACCAACCAATGCCACTTTCCCATGAAAATCAAGAAACCTGTGGTAACTAGCCAACATATGCTAGAATGACAATCTTTAATAAAATTCATATCTAATAAGGATGTGTGAAATGGCCAATATCGCTCTTGGCCGAGATACTGGTTTGCCGTGTTTTGGCAGTTATTTTGGCGAATATGGTTAAAATCAAATCTGTGTAAAAACAGTAAAATCAACGAGTTATTGAGGTTCGTCAACATAGGGAGGGTCCTCTTAGTCTAGAGAAAAACTTCTGCCCACGGCTAAAGGCGTTAAATTAATAAATTGATATATCTGGGCGGCATATCACACAGCAACACTAAACTTCTCCTTTCTCACAGCTTTTTCCCCTTTCACTTCTTTGCTAATTCCATTTTTTTTAAAGTAAAAACTCGTTTTGGAGGCATAAAGGTCCCTAAAGCAACGTTTCAAGATTTTATGGCGATCTTGTGAAAAACATGTAGTTCCAGCTAGTTTAGAGGGTTTTGGCAGCTATTTACACAAAAAGTGGGTAAAATCAGCCCAAATTTTACTGAGAAGACTGCGTTTTAGCTGGAATAAGTGTTTTCACATGGATTGTATCCTTATTTTGTTAAAGACATCGTGCTTTTGAATGTAAAATAGGCTGATTTTTGCAAAAAAAAAAAAAAAAAAGTGTTTTTCAGGTCGAATTGAGCGCTTTTGTCAACTTTTGCGTAAAATTTGGCAAAAACTCGCGCGTTCTGCCGGATTTTGGTGTTTTTAGATAGATTTCATTGCAATTTTACGAAATACATGTAGTTTCAGCTAGTTTGCAGCGTTTTGGGCATGAGACCGGCAAGAGTGATGGTAGACACTCTTAGCAGAGATAATTGTGCTAGCAGATATTAAAATTTCACCTGTAAAGACAATGAATTAATTGAACACAAGAAAAAGGAAACTTGATAAAAAAATTAGAATAATGGCGGGGAGAAAAGAGGGCTGCACTAAAGATTATGTACTTGTGTTCTTGAAGCTGAAAATTAACAAGGTTCCTAACAATTTTTGAAAATCACACAAATCCCAAGCTATATCCAGGGTTTTCTCTTGATAAAATTAACTCTTAAAACAAATTGGGATTTTACCTTGGTCCTTTTTTTTTACTTTTTATGTACATTATTTATGTATAAATAATGCTCCCCTGACCCTCCCCCAAATTTCCAGAGCAAATGGAAACTCTTAAGAATGATCAAGCTTTACCTTATTATTTAAAATTTTTACATCTTGAATTATCAAGTTATCACAGAGGATTTCTTGGTACTTTAACCTGTTTAACACCCTAAAAGAAGTGCACATATATACTACACACAATCAGCCCAGTCAAAATGTGCCACAGCCGACAATTTGGCTGCCTGCCACAATATAGCTGCCGCTAACTTCACACTTTTCACACTTCCATTCAAGACAAGGTTCAGCCTCTGCTGCCTATTACTATCACCAGCTTGCCTTCCACTCAAAAACATTTTGACTGAGCTCATCCATACATACATACATAAGTGGGAGATTAGGTTACATGAGCGAACCTGCACTATTGAAAGAGATCAATGAATTACAATTCAAAGAAACATTGATAAATAAAATAAATCAATAGAAATGACAAAAATCAAACTAACAGCAGACAGTACTCTTTCAGCCTTCTGGACCTGAGCAGTGCAGTGATCTTCAACTAAGTGCTTAATTTGGACATAAAACCAGAACTTGGTATAGCTAAATATTATTATTTTTCTTTTAATATTCCCACTCCAGCTGATGTGTATTATTTGAATTACAAGTCTTATTAGCATGCAAAATCACCTACGGACAAGGCACACACTTTGGACATAAAACCAGAACTTGGTATAGCTAAATATTATTATTTTTCTTTTAATATTCCCACTCCAGCTGATGTGTATTATTTGAATTACAAGTCTTATTAGCATGCAAAATCACCTACGGACAAGGCACACACTTTGCACCAAAATAGCTTTGCATCAAGTACATTATCTAGTACATCATTACCATCTTCAGGTATTTCTAATTTACTTGTGAAAATCACACAAATCATAAGCTATATACAGCATACAATCAGCAGCAAATTATTAGAAAGGAATGCAGTAAATTTTAATAAGAATATTACTAAGTAGTTAAATAACAAATAGCCCAGTAAAATTGTGCCCGTTGCTGGGAATTTGGTTCTCAATAAAATTAGCTAAAATAGCCAATCTTGAGTTTTACTGCTCACTCAAAATGGGCTGGCAGCTTACAATTTGGCCGCCTACAATGAAGTACCTTCCGCTAACTTCACATTTTTCAGACTGCTTTTCAGGAAGAGGTTTGGCCAGCTTTTCTACTACTCAAAAACATTTTGACTGGGCTGTGCAAGTCTTACTAGCATATAAAAAGCACCTTCAGGTAGATTACAGCAAAGCAGACTTTGTACCAAATGCTCTGCATTAAGTACATCATTAACTTCTTCAAGTATTTCTAGTTTACTTGTGAAAATCCCACAAATCACAAGGTATATTACATTATACATTCCAGTTGACAAAGCAATCAAGGGTAATTTTTTCATAATGGATGCAATGATCTTCAGTATCAAGATTATTTGGTACCTAAATAATAAAATGTTCGAGAGAAGAAATAATCATAAACATTTTTTCTTTCTCATCAGCATCGACTTCCAAAAGTAATGGATAATGACCACTTAAAACAAAGAAGAAATAAATCAAATTTGTGATTTCACAGGGCTTCAATACGAAACAACTATACATATCTTTTATTTCCTACCACTTACAAGTGGCAGGAATGGCTGAAATGGCCTTCACGTGAACACAACAGAATCCTATGCGTGTGTAACCATGTAGAACTATTTATTCGGTATCGAAATTACATCCCAAATGTCATGATATTTGACTGAAACTCAGCTTACCCATCTTTCGTTTAGACTTCGAAACTTGCTGCTTTTTACCACCGTTTCAATGTTTTCTTGTTGTTCAAAAGGTGGTAGGGCCATTGCAGACCGTGATTTTTTTTTACTTGAGAACCAGATCACAACACCCAAGCCTTTTCACGCTAAATATTAAACTACTGAGATTTCCTTCGCCGCCGTAAGCCGCCATTTTATCTTTCCCTGAATACTAGTTCCCAAGCTTCGAGCCCGAAGGTCTCAGACATGCACTGAAATTATGATATTCGTTATTTCAGGGCCAATTTAGAAATAACGGTAATCGTTATCTTGGTGTCGAGATCATGCTGATCACAACTGAACGCACATTTACCCCTTTCCTCCGCCATCTTGAATGTTGTAAGACAGTGGAACCGAGTCCTTCTCTTTATTTAACACGGTAAAGAGCATTGGTAAAGAGTGCCACGAAATTACTATATCCATAAATTTGGTGCCAATTTAGAAATAACGATAATCGTAATTTCGGTCTCGAGATCATGTTGACGCACGTACACACAAATTCCGCTTAGGGAAATCCCAGACCCAGTCTTCCTCGCCTGCCATAAAGTTAATTGTCACGTTCCTTGAACTTCAGTTTCGCGTGTGCTTCTAACAGTAAGATTGTTAATTGAATACAACGACAATTTTCGATCAGTCTTTCACGTTTGTTTCTTTTACAGGTTTTTTTCTCACACGGTATGAAGTGTGCCATCGTGCTCGAGGTAAGAGGGGATTTTTGTAACTGAAATGTCTCGTCACATATTTCATCATCGCGCAAAAGAATACATTCGAGTTCGACGTAGAAACCTGATCATTGTACAGAATGTTTGTGTTATGAACCTGTTGAAAAGCCAAACTACCACGACCCTCCGCCTAGCTGTGGTCGAAAAAATAGCCCACGTTTACATACAATCTTTCAAACCCGGGATTCTCGAGGTTGTTATCGCACTTGTAATTAAGGAGTTAAAGATGTCACTACGGCGACGTGTGGGAAAGCGTTGCCGAAAGAACGTAATGTATTTTGCTCTAAAATTTTCGCCAATAGCTCGATGCCTCAACCGTACTGTCTTCACTTCCGCGCAACATGTGAATGTAGTGTTGAGTTTAAAGTAAAAACGTGACTAAATCGTTGTCTCAGGGCTTAAAATTGGTGGTCGCAAGGTCGCCAGTGGCGAGTTAAAACTGACTGACAGTGATTTCACGAGTTATCCACATTCATAACATAAAGACGCCATGAAAGTGATATAGTCATATAAACTTCACATAAAGACGCCATTTTGTGATTGCCATGTGACTCTAAACTTACCCAGAGTTCCATGCGGGATGGTTTCGCCAGGCGTTTTCGCTTTGTAAAGACTTTACATCGAGATTTGAATTTAGATTTGGGACAAAAATGTGGAGATTCCTGCCCAGTTGTGAGCCGCCGCCGCCTGAAAAAGTGAAAAGTAAGGAAGACCTCTCCGAAAGTACTAAAAATTACGAAACCCAGCTTTTTCTACAATGATTTTTACAACAACTTTAATTATGGCCGAAATGTTAAAGAAAAATGTCTCGTGGCTTTACTGGGGTATTGCCTTTTTGTATTTTTTCCTTTTAGTTAACGCTCCGTTAAAAGCCATGGGGCGTTTATTCAAGGTTTTCATTTTAAACTAGAGGAAGTCGAGGGCTTCTTCATCTTGGGTGGGCCACTAAGAATTCAAGGAAACTGGCCCGGCTGGCCACCAAGCACTGGAGTTAATTTTTAGCCCTGCTGTCTAGGTTTCATTGCTAAATGGACGTAAAAACTGGTGTTTTAACATTTTAGGTCTGTATGGGACGGGTAGGATATGTACAAATTTTTAACACACTCGTGTTTCGCTATTGTTTTGCTCATTTGATCTTTTAGTAACATGAACACAACCTCAACTAGGTGGTTACCCTACCTTGAGATGTTTACATGGCAAATTGTTAGCCTAGCTGACATGGTTACCTTACCCAGCAGACTGGGCAACCCATCTTGGCGGGTCACCCCACCCATCATGTAAACATGATCAAGATAAAATAAGAGATCTTATGAACAGGTGAGTAACCTCACCTACCTGGTTCACCCCACTTTCATGTAACCAGGCCCTAAATATTCAGTATAGAGGGCATCTGAAGACAAATTTGACTTCATTTAGGTCATTCTTGTCATACTAATGACCTTTGGCATCTTTTTCAAAGCAAGTCCTGGTGCTCATCCTTTCATATGATTATAACTTTTCATTCATATGCAAAATAAATTCAATTTCATACAAATGTTTGAGCACGATGCCTTATTTTGGAAAAGAGGCCAAAGGTAATTCGGAAATGGCCTATTGAAAAAAGAACAGTGTAACAATTTAACCCCTCCTAATGATGTGGCTTTTTCATCTCAGTCTCTCACCATAACGAAAAATTTTTTATAAATATTTTCTAGAATCACGCTCACAATGGATTATTCCTTCTTTTTCTTTCCCTTAGATAACACTACTTTGGTTACTATGGCTGCAGTCTCCAGTAAAATGTAGACCCATACCATGTCCTCTGTCGAAAAACATTGCACGGTATGCTCCCAATGGTGAAATAGTGGAGTGTGTTCCTTGTGCAAACTGTCCCATTGGACAGGGGTTGTCATTTCCCTGTGGATCCAAGGTGTCAAATGACTCAAAAATTGAGTGTGTATTTTGTGAGCCTAACAAAACTTACTCTGATGACCATGGAAGAGGACACTGCAAAACATGTCAAGATTGTGGTTCTAGGAATGTGATTCAGGAATGCACAATCATCCAGAACCGAGAGTGTGGGAACACATGTCCAAAAGGGTCTCATTTTGACACTAACTTTGATGACTGTGTGGAAGTAGAATCAGAGACGCCCAAAACTACTTCAACACATTCCACAAAAACTGTTAAACTGGAAACCAATCACAAAGAAACAACTGAGACACAATCTAAAACAGAAGCTTATCATGTTACCACATCAACTGGTGTTGATAATACCCCTTCACAAGGGACATCACTGAAAGGAAATGATGACTCTAAAAATGTGTTGTCAATAAAGGAAGATCAGCCTGGACAGGACCCCAAAACACTTTCAATACTTATCTGGGTTTTAGTTGCAGTGGTTGTTCTGACTCTCTTGATTCTGGTGATAGTGACTGCCTGCAAGAAAAGGAAAAAGTCAACAGGTGAGATTTTAACACTCAAAAATTGGTAAAAAAATCCTGGTAGCAAGTCCTCTGATCTTGCCATCTGGGAACGAATATCATAAAGAGTTTTTTTTTTAAAAGCTAATGAGGAAAGAGGCTATATATCGTATCACAAGAAAAAATTCAAACACTAACCTCAACCCATAAACTTCCACAACTGATCAAAACAAAATTTCTTTATGCAATTTCATTAAAACATCAGCAGACAGGTGGTGAGAATAAAGCAAAATGTAAACTAGATTATTTGTTGATCCATTACCAATTTCTCCAGACTCAATCTATGAGAATTGTATGGCAGACAGTGAGGAGAATTACTTATGAGATATTGGGAGTGAAAAGGTTACCTGAAACTGCAACAAAAAATTAACATCCAGTTTTTAATGTCAAGAGATTAGTTACCCAGTAGTTTTGGGAAAGCAGTTGATTCTGTTCTCCAATTTGTTTAGAGTGCTTTTTCATTATGATTTCAGAAAGCCAATCTGAAAATGTTGTATTTTAGATCACAGCTTCACCCTCATCCACGTACATTTTACCTTTTCAATTATTTCAGTGAAGCTGTCGCTCAATTTGACAACACGCCCACATCTCAATCATTTAACCCCCTAACTCCCCCCCCCCCACCCCAGGAGTGACCAAGACAGCATCTCTCCTTACAATCAATATCTGGACAATGTTGAGAAGACAAGTGATGAGAATTAAGAAAAATATTGGTTAGGCAATATTTAGATGATCTAATACCAAATTCTCCTAGCTAACATAAAGAGAACTGTATGGCAGACAGTAAGGTGAATTAATTATGAGATCTGGGAGTGAAAGGATTAAGATCTGAATCCTTGTGATATAGACTGGATTTATTCATAAAATCCTCTTAAAATTTTAATTTTTGTGATTGTAACTTTAAGTTTGTTTTGCAATTAATTTTAGCTCTCCTGTTTATATTTTTGCATAAGTCTACATGCATGCAGTGCTTGGTCAATAATTGCAATTAACTCAGAACATACTGTTTTCAGGTAATGCAGCAGAAATTATTCCACTGAATGATATTGGTGAAAGTGATGGTTCATCAGAAGCCACAACTAGTAGCTCTTCAACACAAGGTATCTCAAACTTTGAATTCAACATAGGATAGGGTAGCATTATCTCACAAAAAGAGAAAAATAATTACAATAAGTATTGATAAAAAGCAATTCCAAAACGTTTTGTAATTTTTTTTTCCTTACCTCAAGTTCTGGGGATTGAAAGGGGGTAAGTTTCTTATGAAATCTGTTATTTATGAAATGGAAATATGCTAATGATTTACAAAATAGAAATCTGTAATTTGCAATTTCTATTTTGCAAATCATTAGCATATGTCCATTTCAAAAATTTCAGATTTTCATTTTGTTTCATTTCATGTTGCAAACTACAAGTAAGCCCATTGTATGACCAAAATTTGTAGCTTTACCAATTAATGCAGTTTAAATATGGACTTCTTTAACTCTAAGATCTGATTCATTTAATTCTCCCTTCTATAGCTGCATCTGTTTATTCTGGCCCTTTACAAATCAGTAATCCAGGAGTATTTCCTGACAAATGCCCTTTAGCTGCCAACAAAGTTTGAATTCTCTTTACCTGGTGGCTGGTTCAAATATCAAAATTGTGTGGAGAACATGTTAATCGCACTAGAGAATTTAAGAGAAAGAGACTTCAAGTTTTTATGTTTTTTTAATTTTTGTATTATAGGATTTGTGTTAGTATGATAACAAAGTAATTAATTTACACCCGAATAGCAGCAACAATAACTTTGTATCATACCAACGTCACCCTTAGCCTCCCCATGTTTTAAGGCTTGGCAACCAAGCATGCAACTGTAAAATGGGCTAGTGCATCATGACATTTTTTCTTTTCAATTTTTTTCTTTATATACCCTAGTATCCCTACATGCAATTACCTTCCAGCAAATTAACCAAAAGGTTAAAAATTCTATGAAATGTTCTACACAATAATTAAAAAAGCCCTGCATTCCATGTTTTGCTTCCTAATGATTTTCTTAAAATAATAGATAAGTAAAAATAATATCCATCAACAATTATCTTTTTAGACAACAACATATCAAGAAATAAGGCTTCTTCTCGTGCCAGTGATGCTCAAGGGGAGGATGACTTGAATGTAGAAAATATTCCTGCAGGTGCTTATAATTAGTTGTCAATAATAGAAACCTCACTCCGAGGTTGTAAATCTTAATATGAGGTGATGAAAACAGTACATACTGGTACATGTATTGCAATGATAATATGATAAAAATCCACATAACTCAAATGGAAGATGACTTTGACCAACCATTTATCCAATGGATATATCAACACATTAAATAAATACAGTTAAAATTCTGGCACCTGTAATTCATAAAAACTGCATAATTTAAGTGATTTGACACAAAGGTCCCCAAATCTAGAAACTTGTTAATGTGAGATGTGCACACCTCAAAATTGTGAATTGAACATGTCCCAAATAATTTGAAATATTTATTACCTTCCTTTTCTTTCTGTCATGTAGACATTCTTGTCTCTCAGATGGAAATGTTAGGTGATGAGAATGGCACCTTGTTCAAGTATGTTCAAACACAACTTGATGCCGGCGAGACCTGCACCCGCAAAACATGGCGCAGTGTTGGAAGAGAACTGAAGGTTCATTCTGATACTTTAAACTTGATACCACCTGATGGAAGTCCTACCGAACATTTACTTGGATATTTAAAAACTTTAGCAAAGGAGCCTACAATGAGGGAATTTGTTCAAGCCCTCAAAAATTGTGGAAGAAATGACATTGCAAAATACATCTGCAATGGACCATGGGCCTCAACAAAACATTGAGGGGGAAAGGAAAGAATACATGATATTTATCTCAAATAGTATTTTGAATAACGTATTGAAATTGTCTTGAAATTGAGGAATAATTTGCCTCTCAAATTTTGGTTCTCATACTTTGATAAGAGGATAAAATGACAACCTTCACAGCACAGATTTAAAAATTATCCTGCTACCCCCAAGAGAGTAAAATAACAACATTTAAGGTTTCTGAGATAATCTGCCAAAGATAAAACTTGACCAAAGATAAAATTTGACCAAAGTCAATGTGCATGTTCTATTTCATAGGAAGGACCTATAAAGGCTCATAGGACAATCAGAAGCATACTCATTTGGAGTTCCATCTCAAAAATCCTCCAGGGGATGTAAAACTCCAGTAAAGCAAAAAAATAAATAACAAACAACAAACAGAAAAAACCCACATTTGATGCATGCATTCTGTGCCCCGAAGAATAATATTTTGGATAAAATGTTGCTGTTTCTATGCAGGAAGTTATTGTGTACACTTTGTGAAGCAGTTTAACTTCATACAGAAGTATGTAATTGCTTAATATAGCTATGCTACAACATATGACTGAGTAGAGGCACAGTGGCCTCATGGCTAGTGCACTCGACTCCAGATCAAGTGGTCCAGGTTTGAGCCCTGGCCGGGGTCATTGTGTTGTGTTCTTAGGCAAGACACTTTACTCTCACAGTGCTTCTCTTCACCCAGGTGTACAAATGGGTACCAGCCAATATGCTGGGGGTAACCCTGCGATGGACTAGCATCCCATCCAGGGGGGAGTAGCAATACTCCTAGCCGCTTCATGCTGAAGGAAACCGGAGTTAAACGCTGGCCCCATGGGCCACTTGGGCCTGTATAAATGCTTACTTTACAACATATGACTGAGTATAACTATATTTAACAAGATGCTAACTGGGGTAGATTAAAAAGCATCTTTATGAGACAGATTGTAAAATTTGCAATTTTTACACAGCCTCCATTAAGGATAGAGTAATGGCAGCAAATTCAGTGTTCATATTGGTTTACAAAATATTTAACAGTTGCTGTGTTAACAACAGAAAAGAGATCATGACGTGGCATGGTTTACTAAATTGGTCAGGGCAGACTGGAGCTGTATGACCAATTCAAGTTAATCATATATTTAAAGAAAACAATATATGTATCTCAAATAGTATTTTTGAATGATATATTAATTATGTTCAGCCATGAACCTTTCTCCCTCAAGATGTTTTGATGTTTCATTCTGCATTTGGGTTTCCTGCAAGCTAGGAAGATATTTCTTGTGAACGGGAGGCACAGTAGTTTATTAAGCTCTTCATTAAGATGACTTACGTGTATACCTATATGTAAACTACTGGTATTTTGTTATGAAAAAAAAGGGTATGGTATAGATAATTTAATTGATACATAACTTTTGGCTTAATATTAAGAATTACTTGTTAGAGACATGTTCGGGGTGACTTTAGGCATCAAACAGCTATCTTCAAGAATGAGAGATGGTTATTAATAAAAATTTCTGATCTCCATTTTTAACTTAATCCTTTAACTCCCAGACCAAATTTATAATTCTCCTTACTGTCAACCATACAATTCTTATAATGTTACTTCAGAGAATTTGGTATTGGATCAACTAATTATTCCCAAATTTATATTTTCTTTATCCTCATCATTTATCTGGTTGATAGTGTATTGATTAAAGTCTCTCTTGGTCACTTGCAGGAATTAAAGGGTTATAATGTACTTTATTGGGGATTTGTATCATGCAATCGTAATTGTTTAATTATTTAACTGCTGAATTGGATATCACTCTTAAATTTAATGTTAAGGTATTAGATTATAATTTAGAGCTGTACAAAAATTATTTTATGATAGGAACTATTCAACATTCAATAAAGAAATGATGTCCAAAGTTTCCACTGTAGCATATAGCATCATTACATGTCATGTACACTGTTTATGTGTTGAGGATTGTTTACAAGACACCTAAGGAAAGACTGATGATATGCAAGATTACCATTTTAACAGTGTTACAAGAATTAGAGAACATGAAAGGTGACTGCATATTATTTGTCATCTCTGGCTTTCAAATGTGCATTTTGGACCTCTTAAACCTTTCATTCTGTTCCATTATCTTTTCCAAGAAACAAGGTTAGAAGGGTGAACCAAAATAGGAAGTCCATAGGAGCAAAACTCTAATCAGAGAATTGGTAATTTCCAAGCTACTTCCTAGTAAAATTCTAGAATGAATGGGAGCAATATGGCAATACCTTTAGAGTCTAGCAAGCACAGAACCATGCAAGTGGTTCTGCATCACAGACTTTGATTTATCTTTGTATACAGATGTCATTTAGTGAAGTGTCAAAAGATGTGGTCTTCCTTCTTCGGAGTAAGAAAGGTTCTCTTACAAATTATTCAGAGAGTATCTTTGAACGACCAACTCTACACACAAGGATTTCAATTCTTGCATATAGCGTTGTTAAACAGTTAAGCATAATAAAACCTTTAACCAACGAAAAATGATTAACATGTAACTTCTCCCCTTATACATCATCCAAAAAATACTCAATGAATTGGCAGACATAACGAGTAGAAGATGTTATCTTGATTTAACACCAAATTCTTGTAAGTAATTTACAAGGAAAGTCGTGTCCAACAGAACGTATAGGAGAGACTAAAGAAAATCGACTGCCAATTAATTTCCGATGAGGCGGGGTTGGGTGAGGTGGGGAAAAACCATAAGAATATTACAGAGCCTCGTGGGGGCCCCTAATAAATTTTATAGTGAAACAACCATTTCCCCCTAGCCTCCCTTTTCACGGCGATAAATAATGGCCCCTTAGATAGCATCTTGAGTGAGATTAACTGAAGCATAAGCAATGTTTTTTTCTATGTTTAGCTCCCTTTTGGAGACAACTAGAAGCAGCATCTCTAACGGAAATCTGTTGTGAGAGATTACTCAGCCGTTAATTGACTTCCGGTTGATTTTTTGTGGTAAGTGACCGATGATTGTAGATATCTCCTCCTGTTCACTTGGCCAAGGAAGTTAAGGAGTTCATACCATTTGCAATTTAGGAGAGTCATTCCCAGTCGCAAGGACTTGGAGGCTGATTACGTACCACTTGGGTTGCTGTAAAGGAAGCAAACATGTCGGCTTGTTAAAACTAAAAGTGTAACTTCTTCTTCTTTTCTACTGTATATCTGAAGGGAGATTACACTCAGGTCTACGAATAGAACAAATGCCAACCTGTCCATCCGCCAAAATCGATGATTTCATTTAATTTCTCAGAAGAAATGATAGACTTAAGCTAAAGAGTTTCTATAAATGACCTGAGCTAAAGCAACTTTAAATTCGAGGAAATGGTCATATGCCTAATTTAAAGAGAGGGGTATGGTGTGAAAATAGCCTACATGATTCTAAACATATTCTAGTTGCAAAATTTTAATTGTTTCTCTATATCTTCGTCTTTTCTGTCAGCACAACATCTCATGCAAGGTTTGCAATCTCCGGTTGTAGCTCGATAGAAGCTGTCACGAAACGTGGAAAAACATTCAGATAACCTTTAATCATGGTATTTCATCATATACCACTTTTCTTGACTAATTTCAATTAATCAATGAAATGATATCATTTTTCCCTCTACCGTTTAAATGACAACATTTATCACATCCGCGAATAAATTTGCTTCGTTTGCATAATTTCAGATCACTAATAATTCACAATATTATCTTGAAAAGGAAGTCCTTATTTATTTTCAGTAACCTATGTGGTTTTCAATCCGATTTTCAAATTTTTCAAGAAATATTTCTCTTTAAGATCCATAATACAGGTTGTTTTATGAGAATAACTCCCACGCAACCGAGATGCTTAGTCATCACTTGTGTAATCAGTGTCCACCACAGAAGAAAAATGAAATGGGTAACTACTTTTGACAACAAGACCTTTTTAGTAAGGCTGCCTCGTGCATAAAAGAAAACTTCAGAAAAATGAATATTAGAATAAGACACCTGTTGCTGGAAAGCTTTCTCGAACAATCTTCGGTGCCTTGGATGCGGGCGGTTTTGCTTCAGTACGCATGCAAAGGTCATTCAAGCAATACTTTTTCCTTTTTCATTTCGATGTGAACGTTACTAACCAGTTCTTGGCTTTAAAAGCAGAAAGAACTCGAGCTTTAAATATGCTTCACTTAATTTTCGATCTAGCTTAAAGCAATTTTTAACCAGTGTTTGCGAGTCGCTGCAAATTATGGCAACGGTTTAGAGGATATTGACAGTTCAGACATGGGTTGCATCACCAAATTAGCGCATTTCCGACTTCGCTACGTCTTTGCCTCGTGTCTTATGCAAGAATGGCCTGATAGTCATGAACTGATAAAAAAAAAACTGACGTCAATCCAGTATGTCAAAGAGATGGAGCTAGTTTGTAAGAAGGTAAAGACAAGATCGAAAACTAAGCCCTGGATCGGATCGCCTCAAACAGACGTCACATGGACACAACACGTCGTCAAAGTAAGCTTGTTTACTTATTTCGTTGCATCTTTTCTTCTTTGGCGACGTTTTACGTTTCCCACACGAACATTTTCATATTGCTGATTACCTTTGCGCTCAAAGGATATGACGTGTAAAGTTATGTTGGCGTAAGATTTCCGGTTCTTTGTACTTGATAACTAATTAAGGGTTCACTCGTTCTTCTTCGTCCACAAGTTCTACTTAAAGAAGGAAAACAAACGATTTGAAACTGATAAACTTCCAAAACTGCGAACAAAGATCCTGCTTGGTTGTAAGTTGTACCTCACAGGAGACCCCATCAGCCAAATATGAGAACTGAATGGTGAGGTATCAAAATATCATTCAAAATAATATTTCGGCCAGCCAGACCAGGCTTTTCTAGATTTAGATTATACTGGAGTATATCACGGCTTTACAATAATATGTTATCGTAGCTAAGCTTTCATACTTATAGGAGAACAAATATATTGTACCACCCTGTCATTTGTATTTCGAATACATTTACCTCCGCTTTCGTTTACCCACACGAATGTTTTCGAAATAATCTACTCTGAAAACCGTTTTTAGCGCGAAAGGGTAATCTCATCAGGTTAAAATGCGTTCGTAGGAAAATTTTCATGCAATTTCCCCTGCTCACAATGTTTAAGCTTCTTCCTCCAAAATTTTCGCTCGACAGTTTTCCACTTTTCCAATTAATGCTCTGTCCACTCTTGTCCGAATGATTTTGCCAATATTTTCATTAACCATGCCTTATTATCATAATTTAACAAAGACATATGAGTGTTTAATCATTTGATTCATGATTTAGAGTCCTTATTAGGTGTAGATCGCTATACTATTAGTTTTAGTCACTCGTAGGAAGCTTGGTTGACAGGAACAAGGCAGGTCTTTTGTTGATCATATGTAAGGATGTTGATGGGATATCTTTGTTGACCATGATGATAAAAAGATGCTTAATCGTCCGAACAATAATTCAAGAGTCACTTTCAATTGTAAATTCAAGACATCAATTGAAGATCGCAATGTTTCGGCCACTATTTTAATTGTTAATATTTGAGAAGCGAGACTGATTCATTGCGCATAGTAAATCAATCAAAACGGGTCCCGGATAATTCTCTTTGTTTGAAATTTCCACGTCCGCATCAAGGGTCACCCACAAACAGCTAAATGTAGAACGTTCAGCATACCAGGAAACACGAAGTCGTCTATGGTTATAAGCGAACGCACGTACACTCGCTGAAAAGTTAAAAAAACTGACAGAAATCGTTTTAGGGGAATCCCCCCTAATCCCCAGACCCTACCTCGTTCCAGTCTTCCTCTACTGTCATAAGAGTGATCCACGACGTCGATTGCACCATCACTTTCGCGTGCGCTTCTGTTATTAGGATCGCTAACTGAATACAAATAACTCGACTTGAAAAGAGGTTAAGTTACCACAGATTTTCTCTGTCCAACAAGAAGAAACCTAAATTTCAGTATCCAAGCGGGTTAGAATGGGTAAGCAGTAAAGTCTAGCGAAGGGGCAGAGGTCCCTCTTTTTGCCGTTGTTTCTAATCGAGCCGATTCCCCTTTTTATCTGCATTAATTTCAGCAGACTGGCTATTTATATCTCTAGCAACCTGTTGACAGTTTTCGATCAATCTTTCACGTTTGTTTCTCTTACAGGTTTCTCTCACATGGTATGAAGTACGCCATCGAGCTCAAGGTTAGAGGTGATTTGTGTAATTAAAATGTTTCGTCACATATCAGTTTATTATCGCGCTAAAGAATACATTCGAGTTCGTCGAAGAAACCTGCTCAGCGTGGAGAATGTTTGTGTTATGAACTTGTTGAAAACCCGAACTACAACGATCCTGTAGGGGCGTCCGAAAACATAAATTCAATTTCAGTTGGGCCATTCTTGTCAGACGAAGAAGTTTCAAAATTATTGTAAAATCTTCAGAGTATATATTTTAATGAAGGCATCGAAAGCCTCCTCTGAAACCAGCGTCCTTAAATACTTAGGTGAATACGATTGTGATTCTAAATTGTCTTTAAGTTCGAGATACATGTATGAAAAAACATTAATGTGTTACAATTTATACTTCAGTTTACTATCAATACTAAATGGCTACAGGCCTCATTTTGGAAAAGAGGCTAAAGGTGATTCGCAAATGGCCTATTGAAAAAGGAACAGAGTAACAATTTAACCTATCCAAATGATATGGCTTTTTCATCTTGGTGTCCCACCGCGTCAAAATTTTTGTAATTATTATTTTTGAGAATCACGCTCAAAATGGATTCATAGTTCTCCTCTTTCTTTCCCCTAGATAACACTACTTTGGTTACTATGGCTGCAGTCTCCGATAAAATGTGAACCCATACCATGTCCTCTGTCAAAAAACATTGTACGGTATAGTCCCAATGGTGAAATAGTGGACTGTGTTCCTTGTGCCAACTGTCCCATTGGACAGGGATTGTCAGTTCCTTGTGGATCCAAGGTGTCAAATGACTCAAAAATTGAGTGTGTATTTTGTGAACCTAACAAAACTTACTCAGATAAGCATGGAAAAGGACACTGCAAAATGTGTCAAGATTGTGGTTTGAGGAATGTGATTCAGGAATGCACAGTTAACCACAACCGAGAGTGTGGGAAAACATGTCCTAAAGGATATGAATTTGATATTAACATTGATGACTGTGTGGAAGTGGAATCAATGATTCGCACAACTACTTCAACACATTCTACAAAAACTGTTAAATTGGAAACCAATCGCAAAGAGACAACTGAAACACAATCTAAAACGAAAGCCTATGATGTTACCACCACTGCCTCAAGTCCTTCAGTCAAAGTCAAGATAAACAGCAGTCGGCCACTAACAGGAAATTATGACTCTGCAAATGTGTCACCAACAAACAAAGTTCAGCCTGGACAGGACCACAAAGCAATTTTAACAATTAACTATGTTTTGATAGCTTTAGTCATTGTGTTTGCTCCAACTATCTTAGTGCTTGTGATAGTGATTTTCTACAAGAAAAGGCAAGATCACAGTACTCCAAGAGATGAAGAGTCAACAGGTAAGATTTTAACTCTCAAAAATTGGTCAAAAATCATGGTAGCAAGTCCTCTGATCTTGCCGTCAGGGAACTGATAGCATGAAAAGGGTTTTGTAAAAGGCTGATGGGGAAACAGGTTATATATCATATCACAAGTAAAAATGCAAATGCGAACCTCAACCCTCAAATGCATGCAGTGCTTGGTCAAAAATTGCAATTAACTCAGAACATACCATTTTCAGATAATGCAGAAGAAATTACTCCACTGACTGATACTGGTGAAAGTGACGGTTCATCGCAGGCCACAGTCAGTAGCTCTTCAACACAAGGTATTTCAAACTTTGAATTCAACATAGAATAGGTTAGCATTATCTTACAAAAAGAGAAAAAAAAAACAATAAGGATTGACAAGAAGTAATTTTAAAACATTTTGTAATTTTTTTTTTTTAACCTCAAGTTCTGGGGATTGAAATGGGGTAATTAAGTTTCTTTATTGGAAGAGTATAACAGGGTAATAATTAGTAATATCAAATGAGTTAATAATGTAAATTGGCCACCATAAAGAGTTTATAAGCTGACATTTCAAGCATTATAGCCCTTCATCAGAGTGATTGGGAGAATTGTGGCTTGTATGTGTTTATACATGCAGATATTATGGAGCTACGCTATTTGCGGGAATATGGTGAAGAGAAAGCAAGAATAAATTTTAGTTAAACTCTTTCGATCTAGTGATTTAGTTTGCAACTCAGTATAATAAAATTCTTTCATGATATCTCATTTAGCATAAACCAAGCTGCAGCCAGCCTTTGATCAGCTATCCAAACCTTGCCTCATCTAATTTTCATGACCTGAATTAGTAATGCCACTTTAAATCTAAAAGATGTTTGTATCTTGTATTGCTTTTATACAATTAGTGTAAAAATTAGCGTAAATATTTGAACCAAAAATTATATTTCAGTTTTCTGTCATAGTTCAACAATTGTCATTGTATGACCAAAGATTGTGGCTTTATCAATTAATGCATTGTATATATTGAATTCTTAAACTCTAAGATCTGATTCATTTAATTCTCTTCTATAGCTGCATCTGTTTATTTCGGCCCTTACATATCAGTAAGCCAAGAGTATATTCTGACAAAGGCCCTTTAGCTGCCAACAAGCTTTGAATTCTCATTACCTGGTGGCTGGTTCAAATATCAAAATTGTGTGGAGAACATGTCAATCACACCAGAGAATTTAAGAGAAAGAGCTTCAATTTTTTGTCTTTTTTCATTTTTTATAATTAGAGGATTTGCGTGATTCTGCTTCTCAAGACAACGCAACAGAACCACTTTTAACACAGACATTGGTGGACATTCCTACAGGTAAAATTGAGTTCATTAGACCATTTTACAATTGTGTAAATTGATTGGAGTGAGGCTGAAGGTGACCACGTTGTGATAGAGACTAGTATGAAGTTGGCATGATAACAAAGTAATTCACATTTGAAAAACAGCATTGTTTGTTTGCTTGGCAACCAAGCACACAACTGTAAAATGCACAATTGCATTATAACATTTTTCTTTTCAATATTTTTCTTTACATATCTCAGTATCCCTACAATTACCTTCCAGCAAATTAACCATAAGGTTACAAATTTTATGGAAATGTTCTAATCAATAATTAAAAAAAGCCCTGTATTTCATTTTTTTGCTTAACTATGATTTTCTTAAAATTATAGGTACATAATATTATTCATCAACAATTGTCTTTTTAGATAACAACATATCAATTAGAAATGAGGTGTCATCTCATGCCAGTGATGCTCAAGGCGAGGATGATGTGACTGTAGAAAATATTCCTGCAGGTGATAATAATTAGTCACAATTATAGCAAAAACCTCACTCCAAGGTTGTAAATCTTAATATGATGAGATGAAAAAGCACATACATGCATTGCAATGATACATGATAAAAACCCACATAACTCAAATAGAAGACGACTTTGACCAACCATTTATCCATATATCGACACATTAAAGAATACAGTTAAAATCCTGGCACCTGTAATTCATAAAAACTGCATATTTTTAATGATTCAATGCAAAAGTCCCCAAATCTGGAAACTTATTGATGTGAAATGTGCACACCTCAAAATTGTGAAGTGAACATGTCTCAAATAATTTCAAATATTTACTACCTTCCTTTTCTTTCTGTCACGTAGACATTCATGTCTCTCAGATGGAAATGTTAGGTGATGTGAAAGGCACCTTGTTCATGTATGTTCAAACACAACTTGATGCCGGCGAGACCTGCACCCGCAAAACATGGCGCAGTGTTGGAAGAGAGCTGAAGGTTCACTCTGATAAGTTAAACTTGATACAAGCTGATGGAAGAAGTCCTACCGAATGTCTACTTGAATATTTTAAAACTTTAGCAAAGGAGCCTACAATGAGGGAATTTGTTCAAGCCCTCAAAAATTGTGGAAGAAATGACATTGCAAGATACATCTGCAATTGGCCATGGGCCAATTGAGGAAGAAAGGAAAGAATACAGTATATGTGCCTCAAATAGTATTTTAAATGATAATTAATTTAATTTGTACAGTCACGAACCTCTCTCCTTCAACAGCATCAGAACCAAAATATTCCAAACAAAATTCTCAGAGAGAACAAGACAAGGGAAAGTGAGAACAATTCTGAGAATTTGAAGGAAGCTTAAGACATGGGTACATTATGCATCAAGAGCAGTGAGACAAAATGGTAGTCCCTTCTGGGACAAGACCATCTTTACAAAATAAACCCAGACAGGATCAACAAGTTGAGTGATAACAAATACTATTAGACATAGTGTGGTCGCCATAAGCCTTGTATCCCAAGTACAACGATAAAGTTCCCTACGAAAGTTTCTAGCTGCTTGAGGCTAAGCGCACTAGCTATAGTTGGCTACCACAATGCTTATAAAATTAATACATAAATGTACACTGCACTTACATACAACAGACAGATAGATTAATTGATTGACAGATAAAAAAATAAATAGACAGACAGATTGCTAGATAAATAGGTCAAAAGATAGATAGATAGATAGATAGATAGATAGATAGATAGATAGATAGATAGATAGATAGATTAATAGATAGATTTATTTTGCCAGAAAATATTTTCAATATTTATAATTGAATATATACAATTTTGTTTTTCTGACAAGGCAACTTATTTGCAAACCATGGGGCTTATGACTATGAGCTGCCCTAAAAATACATTAATCACGTGTGGAATTACTAGTGGAACATAGAACACAATTAATCTTTATTTTGATCATTGTTAAGTTCGACTTACAGCACAAACAATTCAATTTGTTCTTTGAAATTCCAACAAGGATTGTACAATAATTATCAATCTAATTAATGTATTTAAAGTACAATTTTTTCTGACAATGTGCTTCGCAAAAAAAAATGTTTTCTCTTACTCAACCAAAATAAGAGAAAATTACAACCAAAAAGTGCAAGGTTCAAGATTATTTCTTAGTATTGTACTGACTGTGCATTTACACTGCCATAAAATGGTAACTTTCCACTCTCTGGTGATCCAAAGTTCCCCTGGGAGCAATATCTTCAACAGGAAGTGCATTTACCTAATTATGATTCATGCTCCATATGTCTTGAAATCAAGGAATAATTTGCTTCTCAAATTTTGGTTCTTATACTTTGGTAAGAAGATAAAATGACAACCTTTGAAAATTGTCCTGCTGCTCCCAAGAGAGTAAAATGGCAACATTTAAGGTTTCTGAGATAATCTACCAAAGATAACATTTGACCAAAGTCAATGTGCACATTCAATTTCATACGAATGACCTTTAAAGGTTCATAGGACAATTGGAAGCATACTCATTTTGAGTTCCAACTTGAAAATCCTCCAACGGATGTAAAACTACAGTAAAGCAAAAAAAAAAAAAATAACAAACAACAAACAAAAAAACCCATATACAATGCATGCACAGTACAATATGAATTTCTGTGCCCAGAAGAATAATATTTTTGATAAAATATTGATGTTTTGAGATACATGTAATTCTCTATGCAGGAAGTTATTGTACACACTTTGTGAATGCCAGTTTAACTTCAAACACAAGTATGTAATAGCTTAACATAGCTATTGCAGCATAAGTATAACTATACTTAACGAGATGTTAATGGGGTAAATTAAAAAGCATCTTGAAGTTTATGACACAGATTGTGAAATTTGCAGTTTTTACACAGCCTCCACTAAGGATGGAGTAATGGCAGCAAATTCAGTGTTCATATGGGTTAACAAAATATTTGCCAGTTGCTGTGGCAACAATAGAAATGAGATCATGACGTGACATGGTTTACTAAATTGGTCAGGACAGACTAGAACTGCATGACCTACCCAAGTTAAACATGCATATTTTTAAAGAATACAATACATGTATCTCAAACAGTATTTTTGAATGATATATTAATTTTGTTCAGTCGTGAACCTTTCTCCCTCAGGGTGTTTTCGTGTCTTGTCCTGCATTTGGGTTTTCAGCAAGCTAAGAAGATTTTTCCAGTAAACAGCAAGCACAGTCATTCATTAAACTCTTAATTAAGATGACTTATGTGTATGATAAAACTACTGGTATTTTTTTATACGTATGGTATAGATAATTTAATTGATACGTAACTATTGGCTTAAGATTAAGAACTACACATTAGAGATGACGTGTTCAGGTTAACTTTAGGCATTAAGAGCTATCTTTCTGATTTAATTGATAAGTGTGAATAAGAGGTGGTTATTAATGAGAATTTCTGACCTCTATTTTTACTTAAAATGTACTTTATTGGGGATTTGTATCATGCAATCTTCTTTGTTTTATTGTTTAAATGCTTACTTGAAAATCACTCTTAAATTTAATAAGCTATTGGATAATAATTTCAAGCTATATAAAACTATTTAATGCTAGGAACTATTCAACATTCAGTAAATAAATAATGTTTCCACTGTGACTCTTTTACATTGCTTATTTGTCCAGGATTGTTTACAAGACACTAAGGCAAAAAAAAAAAAAAATGAATGCAAGATTAAGATTTTAACAGTGTTACAAGAATAAGGGAACATGATTTGATTGAATGAAAGCTGACTGAATATTATTTGCCATCATTGGCTTTCAAATGTGTACTTTGGACTTCTTATACTTTCAAAATTTCATTCTGTTCCATGATCTTTTCTGAGAAACAAGGTTAGGAGGGTGAACAAAAGTAGGACATCCATTTGGATTGGTAACTAATCCAAGCCACTTCCTAATAAAATTCTGGGAGGGATGGGAGCGACATAGCAATACCTTTAGAGACTAGCAAGCATGGAACCATGCAAGTGGTTCTACATCACAGCGAGAATTTTAATTCTTGCATGTAGTATTGTTAAAACAGTTAAGCATTATAAAACCTTTAACCATCAAAAGTGATTAACATGTAACTTCTCCCCTCATACATCCATACATTATCCAGAAAATGCTCAGTGAATAGTCAGACATATCAAGTAGAAGATGTTATCTTGATTTAACACCAAATTCTCGTAAGCAACTCACAAGGAAGTGTTTAACAGTTAGAGGGGAGAATTAACAAATTATCAAAACTTAAGAGCTTAAAATGATTAATTTTCTAAAAGCTCTTATTTCCAGAAGATACCTAGGATGAACCTCTCTACCGCGTACTGGTACAATTTCAAGCAGAAAAGTGACGATGGTGAAGAAGAGAGAGAGAGAAATATCAGTTAAGGGGTCACAAGAAATTTACGGCAGACAGTGCAAAGAAGTTATATTTTGATCTCGTTTGGGAGAATTGGGATAGCATAATGCAAACCGTACCAGTTCTGACATTAGATATAACAATTTTACGTTTGTTACGATTATTTGCATTTACTTGATTATACTGCGGTAAAATCTAATAATTTTTCACTCTGATGAACTCACCAACCTTTCCTGAGCCTTAAAATGAGTCTCGAGTTTTGAAAAAGTGCTAATTTGGGACTAGCTTATCAAAAAAGAACCTTTGTGCAGAATTCTCCTGGCGAGCATTAACTGCCACATATTTTTCATTCTCGGTACGATTGAGACTAAGGTCACTTCCTAGCCCATTTGGATGCTTAATAGGCCGATAAAAATTCAGCTGGTACTGGATACAGCAGGAACCTTTCCTTTTTCTTGTGGAGCTAGCGGTTATCGTTGTTGTCGTGTAATAGGCGGGAAATGTACTGTATAGTGATGGCGATGATCATGATGATCATTCTAAACATTTATGTGATCGTTATTATTATCATAATTATTATTATTACTATTATTGACACCATTATTGATATTATTATTGTTATTGCTATAATAATTACTGTTATTATTGTTATCGTTTGTATTTTCATTGCCCGTGCTAATAAGACAATTGGCATCTCTGATCTTTTTTTCCGCTGGCTCTTAGCAATTAACTTGTAACGGAATAAATTAATTAGTAGCTCTTGCGGTTCTGGACCAGAACCCGATAAGAGCTTAAATAATTTCAGTGCATTATGCATCACTACAAACAAAGGGTTTCTTTCGTTTTGTTTTTATTTTTTATTTTTTTGTTCACAATTTTTTAGCCAATCTTTTTGGCTGATTTTTACCATGTTACTCTTAGGTAAGGTTTTTTTTTTGCCATTACTTTATCTCGATTATGAAAGCGATCTTACTTAATCCTTTAGCGTTGCGCATTTTCGCCTAAGATAGAAGTGCATTATAAAGCTTTCTTCGAACGCACCAGAGCCCAGTTGTGCAAAAAGACGCCGGCAATAATCCGCGATTAAAAGTTTAACTTGTCATTGTCTTGAAATAAAGCGTATATTTGGGCTTACGTTTTCAGGGATTTCACCTTAGCTATAGCGTGAGACAAAACTGGAGGAAAAAATATGCGCAATTAAAACTAACTGCAAAGCTGCAAAGCTAGATGAAAAATTGTTGGCTAACCCTTGGTTAGGTTTATCGTGTTTTGAACAACGCGGCCTAAGGCCACATCAGGCAGCACCTTGGACAGAAAGAGGCCTCTGTTGCGTTGTTCCCCCTATTCATTTGTTCACTAGTACTTTTGAAAGCAAAAGCTTTTTTCCACACGAAGAATCTCAAAGTCTGCAATAAACACCTCTAATCATACAGAAGCCGATAAGGGGAAATCCCAAAAACCTTTTAATTTATTCTTTTGTTCAGGATTTGTAAATGTTGTTTGGATCGTAAAACTTTTTAAACATAATTTTTATTAAAAAATCCTGTTTCTACGATTAAACAATTTTTTGGATTTCAAAAACATTTTGGGATTGCACCTGATCCCTTATCGACTTCCGTAAATCAGGGCTTGCTTATACATTTAACTAAAGCAAAACAATCCGCGACAAAACTGTTTGACAAATATCAATGGCATCGTTCACGCTACTCCTATTAGGAAGTTTTAAAAAGTAACATGATAAATTAACGACAGTTCTCTTTAATACCCTCTTCTTCAATTCAATGTTGCACAATCAAAGGAAACAAAGTGCAATATTGAAAAACTGGAGAAAGAGGGATGGAGGGATATAAGGGATGTAACTGATGAGCTCTTCCAGACTATGAATGTGGTCCCACTGGTGATGTGGCCAAAATTTTTTCGCCGATCGTAGCATTCCATATCTGATCCACAATGTATCTCATGTGCTATCAAGGCTACTATAAATTATGTAATTCTGAGTCCTAACGAGTGAAAAAGGATCTCGAGGGAGCCCTCCTTGTTTACACCTTAAAGAGGAGCTCGGTGCCAAATTTCGTCGCATTTGCAAATAGCTCACTAACATAACTAACATAAGATTAGAAAATAAATATGAATTAATACTGTGGTCTAATCCAAATCACTTATTTTCCTTATCTTGTTAAATATAACGTTAAGTTAAAATATGTTAGCATTTTATCCATGGGTTTCAGTCAGGTTTTTCGTCAGGAGCCGGTCATTATTTATCCTCTGGGCTGCATCGTCTTTGTTAATAATGTTGACTTGGGTAAATGTCAGTAGTTCTTTATAATCAGAATATTAACCAAAAAAGGCTACGTGGGCCGCAATGCCATGCAGGTGTAGTGTCTGTAGATATCCCACCTGTTCACTTGGCTATGAAAGTTACGGAGGTCATACCATTTGCAATTTAGGAGAGTCATTCCCAGTCACAATCGGAGGACTTGAAGGCTGATTACATACAACTTGAGTTGCTGTAAAGGAAGCAAACATGTCGGCTTGTTAAAATCAAAAGTATAACTTCTTCTTTTCTACTGTATATTTGAGGGGAGATTACACTCAGTTCTACGAATAGAACAAATGCTTACCTGTCCATCCACCAAAATCGATGATTTCATTTAATTTATCAGAGGAAAGGATAGACTTAAGCTAAAGAGTTTCTATAAATGACCTATTCTAAAGCAATTTTAACTCCGAGAGAGGGGTATGGTGTGAAAACAGCCGATATGATTCAAAACATATTTTGGTCGCTACTTTTAATTTTGTAACCAAAATATGGTTAAAAATATGAAAAGATGTGTGTAATTTCTTTTATCCTGGTCCTGAGCATGACTAGATACTTACGAGTTGAAGTCACGAAGTCTCCGTCGGCATGCGCTCTTGTGTAGCACAAATACAGTGACAAAAATTGCTTTCTGTAGCAGACAAATAACATCACTCCAAAGGAAACACACACAGTAAAAGCAACACAAGCCACAACGGCTATAAGCCAAATAGTACTAGCACTGCCTCTGTCCTCAGAGCGGTAGGCCATCTTGTCATGTGTGATTGCAGGAGCCGTGGATACTAACACAGCAGACGCAGTTGTTCTGTAAACAGTAGACGCGCATTTGATGGTGTTGACATCGTATCGACATATCTGGTTTGCTGGGAGGTTGGACTGATCACTGCACTGTTTCTCTATATCTTCGTCTTTCCTGTCAGCACAACATCTCATACAAGGTTTGCAATCTCCGGTTATAGCTCGATAGAAGCTGTCACGAAACGCGGAAAAACATTCAGATAACCTTTAATCATGATATTTCACCAGTATTGCGTTGCGTATCTTTTCTATGCATAATCATTATAACGCGTGCATGATAAAAAAAATTGCGCTTTGATAACTTCAATTGATGAGGATGAGGTAGAGTTTAAAAAAAATCTCAGCTCAGGCTTTTTAAAATTGACCTTTTACCTCCCAAGATCCGATTGTTAATTCTCCCCTCCAGCTGCTACATATCTCCTTTTAAATTAGTTACGAGAATTTGGTGTAAAAATCAGCATAAAAATTACTCCGACAAATGAAAGTTGGACTAAACTGTACAAAGAACAGCACTGCAATTTTTCAACTGACAGCATGATGATACACTATCTCTTTAGAGATTCTTTTGCCCAAACACCGCTTTGTTTACATACCCAGCATTGCACTCTCCACAAACTGCATTCTTCGTGGCAGTACAAGGGCTAATCGTTTCTTCGTTAGGGTCGCAGATAGTGCACGGCTTACACGAGGAGATATCATGGTTATTCGAGTACGATTTGCCAGGTGTACATTCTACACACTCCACTGTGACGTTCGTGGTGACACGAGATCCACACTGTGGGACCATGCCTTGGCCATCGGGACATTCGGGACAGGGAAAACATTCAACTCCATTGGTGCTCGAGATAGTCAACTGATTCCACCTGCAGCTCCTACTAAACGCTACTTGTACTGAAAACTAACAATGAATTGTTGTTTTAGCCAGTGCATTGTTAAATAATTGATGTATGGTTCAGCATCTGTAGATAACTTAACAGACTATACATTTGGGGGTGAAATATTTTCAAAATACTGAGGAAACAAAAAGAAGGTTCCATCCGCCCCGTCCTCGGTACTTTATGCGCCCGGGGGGGTTGACTTGATCCGGAAAGCAGGTAAAGCAATGGTATAAGGAGGCAGGAAATACCTTTCTGAGGCTGTGTCTTTACTTATTAAACGGTCGGTCACTTCACAGAAGTCAAATCTTGCCCGGAATGTGTTTTGATCAATGAAGAACGACGCTCAACATTTGGCAGCTCTGTCATTCGAGATAGTGCTAACAATGGTGAAATTCAAGTTACCGTATTTATTTTGCTATAAGCCGAGACCCCTTTGCGGCACCATCACGAAAAATTAAACCAAAACATTCGGTTACAAGCCGAGACCTTTTCCAAATATTAGTGTGAATTTTTGTAAAAATCGCTCGGCTTATAGCCAAATAAATACGGTGTGTTTCTTGCCGTTGTGCAAAGCGGGCGAAATATTACAAATAGTATTACGGAATTTCTTGTTTATTTTCACTTTCGATATAGCTCATATACTTGTTGAGATCGCATCGAAAGTGAAGGGAAAAATCCCTTTTTAATCAAATAATTCTTTACTGGTTGCGGATTTGAAAAATAATCACTGAAATAGCTGCGAATATCATTAAAACCTTATCCAAGGCTAAAAGATAAGTAAAAAAATGGAAAGAAAAAAGTAAATACAAAAACAAGTCAACAAGCTCCCAAACACGTTTTGCTTTCGCTTTCTTTACAGCTGTCGGGTTCAACGAAGTACTTCCTTTAAAGCAAAGTCCTTGCTCGATCCCTAAAATAGGTTGCCTAATCTTTAATTAGATGATCGGGAAGTTTGTTGGGTTTTAGCGAATTGTCTGCATTTTTCAAATAATACAATCGCAAAGGAAACACTTTTTCCGTTCATGAATTAATCCTAACCGCTCTCGGAAATAGTTTAGATGGTCTTTTTGTAATGCAAAAAACTGATAAATATTCATTCAACGAAATCTTTTTGCCATGCATAATTGAACATGGCTTACTTCGTGTTTTGAGTTACACCAGGAGGCAAATATTTTTAATGAAGATTTGCTTATCAACCTACCATGTAAAGAATTGAAATCGTCACAAACAAATCTGTATTAGGTATAGCAGACATGACGTACGTTTCTTGTACTTTGACCTGCCGAGAATAAAAAAAAACAGTGATGTAATCAAACTAAAATCTAAGAAACCTTTTAAAAAAAACATAAATTTGAACAAATGCATGGTAATTTTTAGTTTTCAGTTAATGCGCAGTAAATTTACCAGTCATTGTTCTTGGATGACAAAGAGAGACAGAATGCATTCTCCTACCCAAACGAGAAGAAATAAACTCTATCAACACAATTAAATTTTATTCTTTTGAATACCTATTTCAAAGATCAAAAGGTACAGGTAAGTATTCTGTGTGCCAAGTCTTTCGCTCGCCTACCACTTCCTTTTTATATTCGTTTTTAAAATCTCCCCGTTGTGAGTACTTATTTCCGTTACAAATGTTTCGCAATATAAATTTCCTTGTAGGGATGACTCCGTCAGTTGCGTAGTCGGCAAAACTGAGTTGAATTGAGGTTTGACGGAAGAACAGTTGAATGTGGCTATCACAACGCGAATTGTTGTGCTATTTGTAATTGTTCGAAAAAAGTTTGAAAATATTTATCCAAATGGAAATAACTCATACCTGAGAAGGCTTCTAAAACGATCTTGATTCTCGGGAGTAATCAGTCTGTTTCAGTGAGCCAGCAAATTTCACAAGCAAATATTGCCCCCGCGGAATCCTATTTGATTTGATGACGCAATGTTAGGGGAAACCCCGCATTCCACAAGGTCTGAAAAATTACTTTCCTTTTGCGAAATTAAGGTTTTATCCACCTGAATTAAGATTTCTAACCAGCGAAACCTATGGATTTGTTCTCATTCGTATATCTTATAAACCAATTTGAAATCATTGAAAGATTACCGATGCGCTACGACCTAAGAACCTGTCTTCCCTGGCATGTTAACTTATTAAGCTAAACACTACTGCGGCTCACGAAAATTTGGTACATCGTTAAGAATCTTCACTGAAGGCGTCCGTTCACTGACAGAGTGTAAGAATTGACTCATTAATACAATTAAATGTGACTTGATTTTATATATTGTCAGTTATTTTGGCGATACATGCAAATGAGGTTATTTGTGTTCTTGATCAAAGATCTCCGTTGGACAAGTGTGAACTTGTTCAAGTCCGTGGACTGGAAACTTCTAGAAAATTTGCATGTGGGCCTTGTTTCTAACATACCGATGATGTCACGTTTTAGGTATTTCTCTAAGATCCTCTAGAAAGGTGTCGCTTGCGGAAATTGAGATATCGTGAATTGCATCATCAGTCATCATTGACTTTGAAGTGATTTCAACATAACAAATCTGATTGAAATTTTCATTGTGGTTAGATACTAGGTTGAAAACGGATACAAGCACAAATTTTCACAGTCTTTAAATTTAGATAGACGAGCTATCGAGATAGATAAACATCTAAGAAATGTAACACCGGATGGGTCACGATTGCGTGGTCCGCCCACTCGCATATGTCATCGCTTAAATAAAATCGAAGACTGCTTTTTGTGCTGCGTAAGCATCTAGTACTTTTACTTGGTGTAATCAGGAGCCATAACCTGGTGCAATTCGAACTTAAGTAGGACCAAGGCACCAATATCGTGGTGAATTACCACAAGCAGAGGACAGCTTTAACTAAATTGCCAAAAAGCAACTCTCATTGAGACTGTAGCGCAAGAGTCAAATTGTCACGAAATCAAGCCTTGTGTTTTGGTGTGTGTATGCCTTAAATGGCAAAAGGTTTACCTTACCTGTCAAAGGTTTGATCATCATTTATTACCAAGCCTGCAAAAGCTTCAGTTTGCGTGTTTCTTGGTGGGGAATAGGGATAGAGCTGGAGATTTCAGGCAGTAAATATCACGGCTGGTGGCGAAATGCGTAGTTTGCAGAACGTAACATTAAACCTCAAGACTCTGAAGAGTTTTCCCTTAATATCAAACACAGTCACAATCATAGTCGGTCAGAAGCTATCTTTCTTGAAAGCTTTTTACGAATGTGCTTAAGATCGGCATTTTTTCCTGTTTCGTCATATGCAATTCATGCCGAGCAAGCATACTTCCTCCCTTCGTAAATAGTCACGGTGAACTGTGCGTCGTTAACAAAAATTATTGCAAGTCTTTGGTAAAGACCTTGAATAGCATTACTAATTAATAGTTTTGGTCGAATTATGCTTTCAGTCATCGATGATTAAAAAAGAGTCAAGTTCTGATAAACTTAAGCGGCTATTTGCCAAACTCGCTCCACTTCCTTGCACTATTCCTACTACTCAGACACAAATTTGCATAACTATCTAATCTAACCAGTGTTAGCAAATGATACCTGAAAAATCGTGCGATCCACCTAGCTAATTTTATCCTATCTTGAAACCTCATTGACCTTTGCGATGAATCTTCATATCTCTCAAGTTTCTTTCAAAGTTCTTTAAGTGTAGGGTTTGCTCTTACAGGCGAGGATCTAAAGTGTAAAGTAGCTTGGAGTTGTGGTTATGATCAACTAAGGTCTGTGTATGATCACCTTCAATCGTCCATAATTAATGCGATGTAAAAGGTGATATATCGCTGAAAGGAACGCATAGAGAATGTCTAAACTCTGATGCAATATCTTTGCCCTTATTTATTACGGTACCACACAAGAATGCGAATGAAGTGATGGTAATAACTGTAGAGTTCTCGGTTTCGAATTTTCAGCGTCTCACGAGTCTTGGATTTCAGCATTCACCACCCCTCCTGTGGCTAGACTGTGAAATTTTGCATTTGAAATAATGCTTAATTTCTGAACCTACACAATTTGAATTTTTCGCCTTCAATCACACGCAAAATGAGCTGTGTAGTACATATTTATTCTTAGAGGTGTATTTTCCCTTCTCTCGAGAGAATGACATGAGAGTTGAGCCAAATTTTCATATGACCTTCGTAACCAAATCCCAGCATTTTGATTTGTTGTTCGTTTGTTGTTGTTATGTCTGAGGTCAGACTTTTACGGTGGTTGATAAAATCGAACATTGACAGTTCCTGTACTCGCCCTGTACCGTTTAAAATGCTAAAACAAGAGCTGTGCAGTAGTTCAGTTGATATTCAAGGGTGCAGAATTAGCTTCATTCTCCTTACGGTTGCCTTTGGCGTTTCACGAATCAAGAATATTAGCCACGATGACAACAGACTAAAATCAAGTAAACATATTTTTTGGAAATTAAACATTTTGCTATACTTCTAAAAAATATATTAGACCTAAATCAAAAGAGGATTCAAATTATGCCAACTAAAGACAACGTAGGGGATTTTTTTTCTCTCCAACATATAATCGACATTTCACTGCTATTGAATATTTAAAGAAATAAAGTGATTAAAAAAGAAGAAAGTCGTGTTTTCCCATAAGCAAGCCCGCATCCGGTTCAGTAAACACACCAAACAGAATAATCCTGTTAAAAAAAAAAAAAACAGCTCGTTTACAATTATTTGTTGGTTTTGGCTATGATTTTCTAGCTCAGCAATATTTCATAAAATGTTTATTCGGCGTTAAAATCGCTGAGGAGTGGCACGTTCTCAATAGCTATGATCTCTATTATGATCTCTCAATCTCGGTCGCTTACGACAGGCATGTCATGTCTATTCTGCTTAACAAAGCTTATTCAGGCTGATTTATACTCTTTGTACTGTAGATAAAACAGATTTAACTCAACATGTTTGTCTCTGTAAGAGCATTTATACTTCTGTAAGAGTGTTCATAAAAAGATTTCGTTATTTTTCATAAAACTACTGGTCGCAGATTTTACCATATTTTAATAATGCAGAGGTTAAATACCTCATTTTCAAACAATTAAGTGTTATTTATTAATTAACCCTTGGCGGAAAATGGAGGAGAAGTGTCAATTTTCAAACACATCAATGATGTCGTGTCTCTAGACCACCCGAAAAGCGAAAGCGGTCATTTATTTTGGAGTATGAACTCGCGAGTTGAATCGTCAAACTTTCGCAGGCTAGGTGCATAAGTGACCTTGAAGTGATTTCAAAATAACAAAGCTGATTGAAACGCCCGTCGTGGTTGTGTTTTTGAAGGTTGTAACTGCGACGCACAAATGCAGTAATAATTGCTTCCTGTTTTTTTTCCTGCGAGGTTTTCGTAGATTTAGCGCAAACCCACGTCTAACAGAGGACGATCACATGACTGATTGATCCGCCCCCTGTCGTCTCACTTTGCGTCATCCCCAAGTAAAGAAATATTCTGTCAAAGCTCCGTAAGCAATTAATATTGCGATCCAATATACGCCGGTAGCACTGATAAGGTGGCGAGATATCTCAAGCGGAGGACAGCTGTGACTTAATTTGGCAAAAAGCGATTTATTTGTTGCTCATACTGCGAGCATACTTCAAGAATCAAAAAGCACACCGTCACGTAATCGTGATTGCAAACGGGTATGAGTATGCTATACTTTGAAAGCGATGACATGTTCCCTCGTCTGCGGTTTGATCACTAACTAAGACGCGACCTTCAGGAACTTTGAAAGATTTTAGCTTGGATAAGTAAATACTTAGCCGAATTTCCCCGGCAATATATATCACGGTCGATATTAAAGTGTGTGTTTCTTGTTTCCAGAAACCGTCACGCCGCAAGCCTTTTCAAAAGGAGTTTCTCGTTGATATAAAAAATGGTAAGTGTCCGATCCCTAGACTGTTTGAACATTTCATTAGCTATTAATAATGTACCAATATATATAAGAGAAGGATTTCATTTTTTTTTCCATCATTTTGAAATCACGCTGAGTTAGCACATTGTTTTCTTTCGCAAATATATCGCCTTGGGGAAATCAACAGTTTAGTTTTGTTGTTTGTAAACTCTTAGAAGTTCTGCTCGCCTCATAGTCTTACCAACAACGTTGACTTGTATATTTAGTTCTTAAAGGAAAAAAAGAGTCTAGATCCTAAAGTTTATCTCGCTCCGCTGCATAGTATGTAAATGATTATTTAATGCAAATTATCATGTGATTATTTCTCTAGTTAGCCTAAGTGTTGATTTTAAGTTTACTACGTGCCTATTTTCAGGATTATATCTTGTTTCGTTAGTCTCAACCAAAGTTTTCTGTGTATTATATACGGAAAAATTAATGGCCCTCTCTCTCTACTGTGACGTATGTCTAGTACACACTTATATTTACATGTTTAATTAAGCCCGGCGCACACTAGAGCTATCAGCTGAGCTGAGCGTCACTCGTGGCTGTTGGCGTAAGCTGTTTCCTCAAGTGTGCGGTGTCATGTTCTGCGATTTTTGTCACGCGTGCCATGAGCTCAGAATATTCAACATGTTGAATAATTTCGTGCACGAGTGAACATTGACTCACAGTGTGCGCGCGTTTTGAGCTATCAGCTTAGGAATCAATGCGAACGCGCATGCGTCCTTGCCATGTTTTATTGAAGTCAAGATGGCGGCAAACAACTCGATAGTTGCTGATGCAGTGCTGGAAGATAAATTAGCTGATTTATGGCCCGATTATCCTTGTCTTTACGACGTTCGGTGTCCAGAATTTAAGAATCGGGAGTTACGAGATAAAGCGTTTCAAGAACTGGCCGAAAAACTTGGAACAACATGTAAGATAATTCAAAATTTTATAAGTGTAAAAAATACCAATATTTGGGGCCGTTTTGACCGGACAGCAATTCAATTATTCATTCTAGGTGAGTGGGTCAAAGCTATTGATTCCTGAGCTGATAGCTCAAAACGCGCGCACACTGTGAGTCAATGTTCACTCGTGCACGAAATTATTAAACATGTTGAATATTCTGAGCTCATGGCACGCGTGACAAAAATCGCAGAACATGACACCGCACACTTGAGGAAACAGCTTACGCCAACAGCCACGAGTGACGCTCAGTTCAGCTGATAGCTCTAGTGTGCGCCGGGCTTAAAGCTGAAACAAAGAGTTTCCGGTTGGGTGGTTGATAGCTCCTTCCGGTCACAGACGGATCGGATCCAGTCTTCGGTCCTCCTGCGCGGGAAGGAGCACGGGCGCAATTGCCGAACAGCGGTTAGAAAGCGCACACGGATTAAAATGAACTGTTTTTTACGATTAAGTACAGAAATTGTAAAGAATGGTCAATTGTATTGCCTTCATTTTAATTTTTCAGAAAACAATTCAACGTCTGTTTCTTCTCTGGATGATGGCATCCGTGGTAGAAGGTCAACACTTATGTCCAATGGCTCAAAACTTTTGGAAACTGAGTACCAGCGGTGAATTCAAAGCATGTATACCGTGTCCAGAGTGTCCTGAGGGTAACGGGCTGAACATTCAATGTGGTTCATTGATCACAGATGATACTAAGATAGAATGCGTCCAATGCAAAGAAAACGTGACCTACTCCAATAGCCATGGAGTGGAAAGCTGCAAACCCTGTCAGGACTGCGGTCTACGAAATGTCCTTCAAGAATGTACCTCGGACCAAAATCGCAAATGTGGACGTAAATGTCCCAAAGGGTATTTCTTTGATGGCCACATCACTGATTGCAGAGAAACTACGCCAGCAACAGTCTCAAACAAAACTTTTTCAATACAACCTTCTCCTAGCATTTGGCCACAACTTTCATCTCCTTTAGACGGCGGCTCGTCTTCAGCAATTGTAGCGTCTATGAAAGATTTATTATCAGTAGAAAGTGTTACCTCGACGAGTATAGCGTCGACTCCGAGCTTAAAGCCACAGCGTTCGTCGCTGATGAGCGTTTTGTCTCCACTGGTACTAGGAAACCGTTCCTCTACAAGCATAGAATTCACGCAGGTTATCATGCCAAGACCATCGTCATTGTATCGTGGAATCGTATCAACTTCGATTCCTGGAGGTATAGGAGTTCCAATACCTAAAGGAAACGACGCCTCTGCTAGTGTTCCGGGGGAAAAAAAGACTCAGGGACGGAAAGGCAAAGCTTTGACACTGTTGACTATATTGGGAATAATAGGATCGATAGTTTTTATCGTCATCTTTACACCGACTGCAATAGTTTGCTGGATAAAATGCAGAATTTTTGAGAAGACAAAGCCAGAACAGACAGGTAGGATTATACTAAAATAAATGAGGATAGGAAAAGCGTTAGTGAAGGGTTCTAAATAATCTAAGCGACAAGGAGCCTCGGTCTAATAGCCCTCTTGAGTGACTTGAGTGGGATCCATAATTTGCTAACTCGAAATATATATATTTTCGTAACATTTTCCTTCGCAACGCGACAGATATCATGATAAAAGCCCGAGTCTTCAATAGTTAACCCACCCTGTCTTCTCTGGAATGGAAAGTTCAAGCACAGGAGACTGAATATTTCATACGTAGTCGACTTTTTATCTTTTTATCTCTTTTTATCTCTTTTTCATACTTTGACTTTTTATCTCTTTTTCATACTTTTTGGTACCTGCTGAACGCTCAGACAAAATGACCCCTGTGGAGGTACCTGTATGAGTCACTCTAACTCTGAAGACAATCTCATTTGGGTTTTTTTTTTTCACCATTTGATTTTCAGAAACCGTTGGCTCTTTTCATAACAACACTGACTCTGCTGAAAGTTTAATGGCTTCTCAAGGAAGTGAGTCCTTAGATGGTGGGTGGTTCAAAATTTTCACGTGCCTATTTACTAGGTTTATTGATTTTCTTTAGCACTCAGATAAATGGAAGCCAAAACCGCACTATTGTTTCCCTGTGAAATTGCCTTCTTGAATTCTTTTAGTCTCCGTTTGACCAAAATGGTAACCGTTAAACACCCGTGAAATAGTTCTCTGAACAAAGCCCTTCATTTGGCGCAGTTCCTCATGAGCGCTGTTGCCTCTTCTCTGATATCTAATGCAATCAAAAGGTTTTATTTTTTTAAAGTTTTTAACAAGACTTGCAAAACAAATTGCCTGATACTAACCGTTAAGTTTGATGAGGGCCAAACTGAATGAACCACATACACTCTCTCCCTTATCATCATACCTTTCCATTTATGCAATAATCCCCGGCAACTGGAAAAGCCAAATTGTCAGTGAATTCACCATAATTAAATTCATTTAATTACAGTTCGCCGTGATGGTCAAGGAGACGACAAAGATTTTGTTCTTACCAAGGACATCCCCGAAGGTATGGAAATAAGTGACAAGTAATGAATCCCCGTCCTTTGAGTGTAAGATCAATGTTATTAGCAACTTAAGAAGCCTTCATTACTCCCTGTTCCCGCCTGCAGTACCCACTCGTCTTCTAGGCGTTAGCGGGCAGCTTCCACCGGGGGTGTCCTCAAATGAGCATTATTGTGATGATGATAATGATGATTATAATTGTTACTTTTTTTTCCTTTTGACTTTGTCAATTTGATTGTTCTTTCGTTATATTAGACTTCAAGCTCGCCGACTTTCCATATGATGTCGAGGATTTTATTCTGCAACTAGATTCTGATTCCTCGCCAGTTCAAAAGAACTGGAAACATGTCGCTTACGGGTATGAAATTACCAAACAAGACATTCAGCTGTTGGAGATAGAGAGCAGGAAGCCAGGAGTAAGCGCAATAAGGCTTTTGATTGAAAAGTTGTGTAGTTCCAAATGTGCGACTCTAAAAGAGTTCGTGGACGTCCTCCAGGAGCTGGAACGCAACGATGTTGCCAACGACATTATCAGCTGGTTTAGGAAAAAACAGGACAGATGTTCAGAGGAGGGTAAGAATTGACAATACCCAGGAGGCTGTTGGGTGTTTCTTTAATATCATGTTCCACGCATGGACTTTAAGAACAGTGACAGTTGAGAGTTATTGAGTTGGTCTTGTAAATAACGTAACTGATTTTTTGTATTAAGTAAAATCAAAGTGATCTGAACAAAATTTTTGGAAAGTAGGGATACACGTTGTTCGAGAGATTTGTTTTAAGATTAGACTACAGGATCGTTTTAAACAGGTGTTTTGAAGATTTAGGCAATTTTTGTTTTGAAATTTATGTTAGGTAGTTCGATGAAAATTTTACATAATTTTTCTAGGTTTTTGTAACCTTTTTTAATCTTTGCTCTTAGTTGTAAGGTTGTAAATAATTTTAGGTAACGCTCTTAAGTGCAATTGAGGACGAAATTTTTTTAATGTTGTGCATGGTCAGAGTTTCTTTATTGTAGCAAAATATGCCGGTATCCTATATATCTGAATGTTTCAAATTTCAAACAGGCCAGTGGTATAGCACACGGAAGGTTGTCTGAAGTTATCTTTCCTTGTGGTATTCCTTAAAGTACTATGAGAGGTTAAGAAAATACTGCAGCCTAATTCGCTTGGCATTGCTTGATCTCACATTGAGAAGAAAGTAAGCACTGCGTGCTGAATCTACTTTAACAAGGATGTTTTCGATTTTATGCATGCTCTGAGGTCATCCTGTATGTGACCAGCAGAAGTTTTAAACTTGGCTTAATTAGTCAGGTTAATTACTTTTCAATCGAGTGTCGATGTAATTTGGCTTGTTGATATTTTCATCGTGCCGTCGAGGAATTCGCACCACCACATAGCCAGATGCAAAACTGAAACCAATCGCGACTTAGTAAAAGGAATTTTTCCAAGAGTACAAAGCAGCTCTAATGCGTTAATTTACAGACTTTAAGCTCTCTCACAGGTTTCTCAGTTATGACGTTCAAATTAAAGTTGATTGCTTGGCCACTGTGAGTACTTTGCTTTTGATTTTACGACCCGCAATTAAAACGTTCCTTCTCAGTGATCAATTCTGAGGTAATAATGAGTTTTGTATCATTGTAGTTAATCTTTTCTAGTTAAGTATTGGGGCATAGCTTAGTGACGTTTCCTGGGGTGCTTCTTCTGAAACCCCTATGTGAGGTTACTTTTTTTTTTAATTTTTTTGCTATCAATTCTGTACAAAACTTACACTTCAGGTTTTCAAAAACAGACAAATCCGAGGAAACCTTTAAAAAATCCAAGCTACGCCCCCATTTGTAACCTGTGCTTGCCCGTATCCGCTCTTCCAATCAATTAAATATTGGTGGGCAACTTAGGTAGTCATGCCCTTTGAAAAATGGTAATCAGCACTCTAAGATAAAATAGTAAATTTATATAGACGCAACGAAATTATTTTTGTTTATGAGTTGGGTAGTAAACCATTAAATGCTGAAAAAAACTATCTTGGCTGTAGTTTGGAGTCATCTTTTGTGGTAAACGAGAATAGAAAATCTTCAGGGCGCAGAAATTAAAGAAAAATGACTGAATTAATCACTCCTGAGCTAACAGCCCGCTTGCAGGGGCTCGGTCGATATTTTTTAACATGACTCAGCAAAACTTGGGCTGGCACAAGTCGTCGAGGTAGCGTGAGGTTAAAGTTTCCGGAAAATAAAAGCTGCAAATAGTCGTTCTCCTATTAGGCCAATTTTACTAACTAACCCTCAGACAGTGTAATTCCAAGAAGCAAGCCCTGAGCATCACCCAGGTACCTTATGATAGACGTTTTGATTCACTAATAGGAAATTGGTCAAACCTTTCTCCGTTGTCGTGGTTAAGTCATAAGACAGGAATTTTACACAATAAGCAAATAAAAGAAATTCACGATAGAGGCCTGTGGAGCGTCTTTAACGTGGAGAGGGGTCAGGCATCGTACTAACTAAGTCTTGGACACACGTTAACTTCGTAAGCCTCTTCACTCGTATTTTCAAAGTTTTACATATTGCCGAATTTTTGAAAACTTTGAAAATGGGCGCTGAATCACCCTTAAATATCTCTCGTGTCCATGGGAGTTGTGCAGTCAAACCATCGAAGGCTGGCAAATCAGTGATCTTGCAGTAATTTCAAAATAAAAAAAAAACTGCTAAATTGGCATGAAGTTACCTTCAGTTCTCTGTTTCAGTAATGGCCGCGGTGAAATCTACACCTCTCTCTGCAATTGATTTAGAAGCTTACAGTGGTAAAAAGGGACTCAGTAACAACAATGCTGATCAATAGTTTTTGGTCGACCCAGGCGAGGGTCACCGATGACTTCAGACTTATCGAGTTCTAATAATTAAACTTTGAATGCCACATTATCTAAATATTTCTTTTCAAGTTAGAACTGAATCTCGATTCCCGGGTTGATACGCGTGCATATGATAGACACCAAAACCTATATAGGATCTTTCTTTCTTTATTCCTTTGTCTCATACATCAAAGCAGTCAACTGAAATCATTGCATCAAGGAATAACTTACTTAATAACTTAAGTATTTGTGTGATCATAGCTTAAAGAATAATCTCAATTTTGGAAACGAGCTTGTGGCAATTAAAGGAACCACAATAGAGAGATAAAAACTAGCAACAAGTTCGCTTTCAATCACAATTACCGGGTAACGTAAGCACGAGATAAGTTGTTGCTTAGCAACCTTGGCGGGTGTTGATTACTTTATCAGGTACTCCGGTATAAGACTTGTCTTCTGTTCCAGAAACGACCTTGATTACACGGGGTCTCATCCTGAACTGAAACGCTAGCTATAATTTTCTATCTAAAGGCACTAATCACGGACGCGTCAATCAAACCAGAAAATATATCGCAGCTTCTCTCGGAAGCGGTATAATATTCAGCTCTATGGAAGCGGTTACGCAATATTCATCTTGCTCAAATTCACAGAAAGTTAATCGATTATTCAAATGCGTATTTGCATTTGACTCGAATTTTCTTTGGCCACCGGTATTTCGTGGCGCAGCAGCACCAGGAAGCTGAAAACCTTAAGATTATCTCCTCCGTTCTTGTCAAGTATCTTTTAACCCTTTAACTCCCATGAGTGACCAGAACAGAATTTCTCCTTACAATATCAATATAATATCAACCAGATAAGTGATAAATATAAAGAAAAATATAAATTTGGGGATAATAAGTTGATCCAATACTAAATTCTCTGAACTAACATAATCAGAATTGTGTAGTTGACAGGAAGGAGAATGACAAATTTTATCTGGGAGTTAAAGGGTTAATTTATGACTCAAGGCAAAATATTGATTCGTAAGAGATGAAATAACAAGGTAGTTGCTAAGATGTACGTGCACAACGTTGACCTGATGGGTCACGTATGACGTAAAGACGTCCTATTGATGATAGGACGTAACTGTTATTTCCGGCGACTTATATAAGACTGTTACCTACGGCTAACGTCCAGTATTTTCAACTTATTGTTAGGAAGTTTTTTATCGACGAAATTATCCGCCTCCGAGATCTGGGAATTATAATTTTTGACATCGATACGAACAGAAACACAGGCTGAGCCGTACAAAAAGGGTAGGTTACCGAGTACTCAATCCATAAATTTTTCCTACGAATAACTCTGGCAGACTTTTAGTAAGGTTCGAATAAGCATGTGTGTTTATTTCTTTTTACAGGGCAACAAACGAAGCAAAAATAACAATAGTGGCATGAAGGCTTTTAAGGGTGCCGTAAAGGTGAATATTTCCAAATACTCTGTTCACCGTAGTTCGTAAGCACGTCAGTATGTAACCATTTTCGCAATCTTAATCTAGTTCAGATTTCTCGACGAACTTGAGGACGTTTATAACACGTAACGTATAGACTTCACTGATTTCACTTATCGGTTTTTGTAACTGAAACAGTCGACGAAGATTGGCTGTTATTGTTTATGGTAATTGTGAAGAACAGCTGCCCTCCACCGACAGGCAGCCAACTGTCGGCCAACTGTCGGCCAACAGTCGGCCGCCTGTCGGTAATCTGTCGGTCAGTCACTGCCAGTTACATATAAATTATGTGTGACTGGTTATCTCGATAAACAAGAGTGGTCGAAAAAGATTCTATTTAAATTAAATTTTTCCTATTAAATTTCCGACTCGAACTTGCCGAATGTAATCGTAGTTACTTGAATATTATGTCGCAGTTTCTTGAATTTTTTTCTCAAAATGTTTTATTTCTCTTTAATTTCAGCTGATCTTAGTGATAGTCTTGTGGTCACAATCTGTGTTAGGAGGTCCCACAAGATGTCCTTTGATGCAAAACTTCCTGAAATACTACCCGGATGATCCGGAAGCTCAAACGGAGTGTATAGCGTGTCCTGAATGCCCGCCAGGACTAGGACTCGTCACACACACACACACACACACACACACACACACACACACACACACACACACACACACACACACACACACACACACACACACACACACACACACACACACACACACACACACACACACACACACACACACACACACACACACACACACACACACACACACACACACACACACACACACACACACACACACACACACACACACACACACACACACACACACACACACACACACACACACACACACACACACACACACACACACACACACACACACACACACACACACACACACACACACACACACACACACACACACACACACACACACACACACACACACACACACACACACACACACACACACACACACACACACACACACACACACACACACACACACACACACACACACACACACACACACACACACACACACACACACACACACACACACACACACACACACACACACACACACACACACACACACACACACACACACACACACACACACACACACACACACACACACACACACACACACACACACACACACACACACACACACACACACACACACACACACACACACACACACACACACACAGACACACACACACACACACACACACACACACACACACACACACACACACACACACACACACACACACACACACACACACACACACACACACACACACACACACACACACACACACACACACACACACACACACACACACACACACACACACACACACACACACACACACACACACACACACACACACACACACACACACACACACACACACACACACACACACACACACACACACACACACACACACACACACACACACACACACACACACACACACACACACACACACACACACACACACACACACACACACACACACACACACACACACACACACACACACACACACACACACACACACACACACACACACACACACACACACACACACACACAACACACACACACACACACACACACACACACACACACACACACACACACACACACACACACACACACACACACACACACACACACACACACACACACACACACACACACACACACACACACACACACACACACACACACACACACACACACACACACACACACACACACACACACACACACACACACACACACACACACACACACACACACACACACACACACACACACACACACACACACACACACACACACACACACACACACACACACACACACACACACACACACACACACACACACACACACACACACACACACACATCACACACACACACACTCACACACACACACACACACACACACACACACACACACACACACACAAAACAATGAATATGTGGTTCCAAGATCACTAACAACACCGCTATTAAATGCGAACCATGCCAACAGAACAAGACATTTTCAGACCATCATGGCTTTGAGAGTTGTAGGTCCTGCCATGACTGTGGCTTAAAGATCGTTACTCAGCAGTGCACCCCGTCTCAAAATCGTAAATGCGGCACCAAGTGCCCTGAAAGACATTACCTCGATGACAATGGTTTCTGTCAAGAGTGCTACTTTTGTTGTCCCAGTGTGGACGAAACAGGTAGAATGAAGAAATGTAAAGAAATTGGAATGGGAGAAGACTGGCAATGTCTTAAGAACCACCAAAACAAGCTCTGCAAAGAAGCTTTGGAAAATTCTACAGAAGCTAGTGTTGATACAACTCATGCCACGGCTGTTACTCTTCTTCCTGATCACAATTTTGAAGCAAATAAAACGGAGAGTACTTCCGGTGATAACGTCAGGAAACCTACTGTATTATCATTAGATGTTACATTGAATGGAAATATAAAACCTTCAATATTAGTTGGAATGATCATACTGATTGCTCTAGTGCTTATTTTTGCTGTATACGGAGTTAAAAGAATCATAACATCTAGGAATGGTTCAGCACTGTATTCTGAAGGTAAGAGAAAGTCGTACCTTGCAACACTGTTGTTAACTTTTATGAGAATAGTATCTTAAGCACTGAATTCGTATTAACAATTTGCAACACAACATGATATTTTAGCAAACTGATAATTTTTTTTTTCATGTAGTAATGTTTCCATTATTTTCAGTTGACAACACAACCTTTTTCCTTTGGAAACTTTTGACTTATTTCTAGGTTAAAGAGACATTTATTTAATACACTGTCACCAAAGTTTAAATACTAACGCAAGATAAAATTTGATTTTCTCAAATAAACCCACCCTAACTTAGTTGACAGTGATGATAGCTTAGATAATGCTAGAGTGGCATCTGTACTAAAGGAAATTTAGCTTAAGTAACTCTGAGCAGCAAAGGAGTGCACTTCCTTGATTTATCACATACTGGAAGATGTAAAGAGCCTCACAATCTTCACTAGGATTTCCCACAACTATTAGCTTTTTTAGGCACCTATTTGTAGTTAACCTCATCATGGCCGTATCCTCCTTAAAATCAGTGTTTGTGGACTAAGCTAAAAAGACATAAGGGTCGGTTATATTCTGGACTTTTGAAAAATCGATCATTCTTTTTCTGCAGATAATCGAGAAGATGAGCACGAGCAGTTTCTCCTTAGACAACCCATGAATAACAGGCCAAATATTGGACTAATTCCAACAGGTGAGGAGTCACTCCTTCCTTCTTCACATTCATCCTTTCACACTCTAACATCAGTATTCATATTCCCCGTACAGTTCTCTGTACATTTGCTAATATGCTGGCAAGGAAGTTTGTTTAATAATCATGAGGTTCTTCAGTTCATTATCATTTCCTTTATTCTCATGACCTTAATGTTTGATTCAGTAGTGATATTGTAAGGAGAAATTAGATGCTAGTCACACTCAGGGATAAAGGGTTAATCCTGAATTCGAAAAAGAAAATAAATAAGCCGAGTAACTCTCCCTCTCTAGCCTTTTAAATGCGAAAACTTTCTGCACAGGCTACTGAAAGTTTTATCGACGCCACGTTTATCTTTTCGAGATTCACAATTAGCAATGTTAATGATATTATGTACAGTGATTGTGTGGTGGCGAGGGTTATTCTCAGAGTGAAGGAAACCCGTTGAAGATCACGCATTTTCCTAGCTAAAATTTGCTTTATTCTTTTGTTACAACTTTAATGTTTTTCAGATTGTGATGTCTCAGAAATGTTTACGCTATGTAATAATGAAAATGAACTGATGTTGCACAACATTCAAGACATGCTTGATCCTGATCTACCGGGAAAGAAAGGTTGGCGAGAAGTGGGACGTCATTTAAAAGTTACCGAAAGAGACTTAAACTTACTGAAACTTCAATATAAGTCAAACGGCAGTCCTACGGAGGGTCTTATAGAAAAATTGAAGACTTTTACACCAGAGCCTTCAATGAAAGAATTTGTCGAAGCTCTGATCAGTTGTGAAAGAAGTGACGAGGCCAATTACATTTGTAACTGGCCATGGGAGAAACGTAACTGTACTGAACTGGAGAACCATGAGCAACCAGATACGGTCCAGCAACCAGAAATGGTTAAGCAACTAGCCTGAGGATATTTTTCTCCCCAGCCAGCCGTTTTTTTGAATGTCACACAATCAACGCTACCCTTGTGCGTTCCGTGACATCGGGATACCAGCTCCAGGCCATATTATTGACTTACTAGTACGCGTTTCTATGTTATCCCTCTTTGGATATTTGTTAGGTAGCTTTGAGAAACTTATTATTTATCAGGGATTTATGCATTGCGTACTTTTATTTATTAAATAAAAAACAAAACAAAACAAAACAAAGCAAAAAGCAAAAACACAAAGCTAATAAATAAATGAAAGTTTAGTTGTTTGTCTCTTGAGGTAAAAAGAGTCAGGCTTATCAATCACGTATTGATCGCCATGTGCTATTTGTTGTTTTTTGTTATTTGTGTGTTACGGCGCGTTGTCATCGGTGAATTTTGATCCTTATTACTATTCTGAGAATTAGATGTTCTTCCCCCTTAGGTGCGCTTTGTTGCCCATTGCCTGTTATGTTTTTTGATAATAGACATCCACCCTCGTGGTTAATATAAATTCAATTTTGGTTTTCCGATGGTCAACTTGCCAGGCGAACAATTAACAATTTGCTCAACGATTAATGCGTTTAGAAATACTTAATATATTTTCCTCCATTGCGACAAACTATTATGTTAATTTATGTTTCATTTTAACTGTATCTTATTATTTATTTCTACGGGGATTATCTTATTATTTATTTCTACGGGGATTTGTAATTGCTTTTCTAGAGAATAACAAATGGCGCGAGTAGATATGGAATTTCTTGTTGAGTGTTCGGCTTGATATCAAGTTGTTCATGATTAATTTCCAACTCTGATGATTAGGCGTCTTATGTTAAACTTTCTAATTATCTGTACACCTCGTATACCTCGTATCCTATCTTCGTCATAATTTTATAGATATTTTTATAGTCGTCATAATTTTATACAGACTTTTATTGTTTGATACTCAGACATCAGAGATGGTTCGATATTCAATTTATAATAAGAGAACACCTGGCATACCTTGTATTCTATTTTCATATTATTTTTATTTGATATTCAGACTTTGCCGGACATTTTATAGTTTAACAAATTTTTCAAGCTCTTCAGTGCATATTTTTCATGCCAAATAGAGGCCCTTATCGTTCGCATTGGAACAAAAATTGCGGACAAAAATCACATATTTTCATGCCAAATAATTTTTTCATTTTAACTTTTTAGTTTCACCTTCTTTAAAACATAGGCATGCTATGCAAGCAAGAGTTATTTTTTGGGGGGTGGGTGGATTACTTGAAACATTGTAAGTGATGTCTACATTCTTACAATAGGAAAGAAGAGTATTAACGCGGAAAAGAACGAAAATGTCGAATTAACTCACACATAACTCTTGTTACTCTTGCATGCATAGCGTGCCTATGTTTTTTAACTTGTCGGCTTTCGCTGACAAAAATACAGATCTTAGGTTAGGCTAATTACCTTCCAAGTATGAAAGATCCAATCAGAACATTCAGATTTATCTCATGATTTCCTTACCATAAAATAAATTGTTCTTCCTGGATTTTTCAAACTACATGATAAAACCATTCACTTCTAATCTAAAACCCTGGAAGATGATGTTTGAAAGGATGGTTACTCTCAGTTGGCACGTGCAAAATATTCCTTCATCAAAGGCGCGTAAGAGGAATTAGGACGAGAAAAGAGAATGTTCAGAAAATATATTTGGAAGGCGGAAAAAATGTATTAATTATTCTATCGAGTTGCATAATCACCCTTCCGTGATTATAGCTTACAGATGAAGAAAAGCTTAGAAATTCCGACAGCCGCCGCATCTTAACTATTTTTTATTGCGAGCTTCGAGCTTCATAAAATGATCAGAATCGTTCGAAATCTTTCAAAAAATGCCACAATAAGCACTGTGTGAAATATTCATTTCATAGACACGATATATTTTTTCTTTCTTTACCCGTGCGACCTTTACACTCCCAAAGAATAGACTGCGTAGGAGGTAAACCACAACTCACATGACATTAAGGCGTTTGCAATTTGTTTTATGGAATGACGCTGCAACTTCAGAGGTGTACGTGTAAGATGCATGCATGACCGAAGGCACGTAGTAGTTCTGGGACGGGGAATCCCCTACCTACTCAACACAGTTCCTCCATAAATCGTTCTCTCCTCTGTGATCTTAACGCCCACTAAAGATAGTCGGCTGTTTCATTTAAAGTTTTAGTCATATGAAGCTTCAAGGTTAGTTCGAAGGCAGCCCACTAGAGACGTTTTATCTGCATGACCTCTGCTGATTTGCAGTGTTAAGGGGAAACCCCTTCATAATAAATGCGAAATCAATTTAGAGCGAACTTTCTCGTCTTATGTAAGACCATAATTCTCGTATGTTATTAGGACTGTTCATTAGGGCTAAACAAAAGCGTTTAAGTATAACGGCTGTACATCGACGGAAATTTATGCTTTCGAGATCGGAAACTCCATGATTTTCAGCATCGAGAGTACACATTTGAAGCAATACAAAACGGTAAGCGAGTAAAGGTGATCTAACCCTTCAATTTACACTTGCTTGATCTACAATTGTTTAACTATGTTCTGGTATGCTTTCGGCTAGACTCGATTGAGTTTGTATGTTTATTTCTTGACACAGGCTAACAAACGACACAAACTCATTTATGATGACGAGCACGGCATGAAAGGTGCTATTAAGGTGAGATAATGTTTGTAGATACTTGTTAGTGAAATTACGCATCTTGCGTAGCTAGAATTATGCCGGCAGAAAACTGACCTTCGACTAAGATTTTCGGCAGAATTCTCAGAACCAGCGGCACAGACTAAAAGCAATCAAACAAGTTAACTGATATGGAAATAATTTCCCAATGCTGTGTTGCGAAGTTGCTCACGATTATCTCCTCTGAAAAAAATTGAATAACTTGTTTGGTTTTTATGAATGTTAATAGAATGTTACTTGTTGTTAAGGCGTGGGTAAATTATGCCGGCAGAAAGCTGGCCTTCGACTAGAATTTTCTGCAGAATTCTCGAAAACAAGCGGCACAGACTAAAAGAAATCAAACAAGTTAACAAACATGGAAATAATTTCCCATTGCTGTGTTGCGGAGTTGCTCACTGCTCCGTTATCTCCGCTGTAAATATTGAATAAGTTGTTTGGTTGTTGCGAATGTTTATTGTAGTTTAAAAATACTTCTCTGAAAGTTATGTCATGAATAATGCGTAATATAGCTCTAGCCAAAATTTGTAGCGTACGTTTCCTCTTTATCTTATATTTTTAAACATAATTTCACTAATTTGTGCGGCAAGTTCTCGACTACTGCAATTAATAAATACTGATATTTTTATCTTAGCTGATCCTGTTCTTATTATTGTGGTCACGATTTGCTTCTGGAAGGCCGGCGAGATGTTCCCTGATGCGAAATTTCTTACGATACTTTCCTGATGTTCCAGAGGCTCGAATGGTGTGCAAAGCATGTCCCAAGTGCCCAACAGGAACAGGACTCACACCATTATGCGGTTCAAAGATCTCTAACTACACCACCATCAAATGTGAACCTTGCAAGGAGAATATGACTTTCTCTGACACACATAGCATTGAAAGCTGCAGGCCCTGTCACGACTGTGGATCAAGGAACATTATCCAGCCGTGTACTCCTTATCAGAACCGCAGATGTGGAAACAAGTGCCCTGAAAGACATTTTTTGGACGACAATGGTTTCTGCCAGGAATGCTACTTTTGCTGCTCCGATGTCTCCGAGTCTTCCAGGCTGAAAAGCTGTAAAGACATTGGAATGCGCAGGGACTGGCAGTGCCTCGAGTCCCATCAGAATAGACTCTGCAAGAAAATAAGGGAGACTGCGGAAAATGCTAATTCAACTACTCCTGACGTAACCACAACTACTCCTAGTGCTGCTCTCCCTGCCTTTGATTCTGACTTGAATTTAACTGACAGGGTGTCAAGTAAAGACATCACGAAACCTGTATTCAAATCTGAAAAAAACAATTTTCTTCCAGCAACAACAAAGACATTTATAGACAAGAGGTCAACAAAAGAAGAAGGGGAAACACTGACATCTGCATCTAAAATCTTGATAGCTATTGGGGCTGCCACTCTAGTTTTAATTTTGGGTGTAATCATTTATTTCTGCTGGAAATGCTCACATCCAGGCGGTAAGAAAGAGTTATACTTTTTCTTTCTTTGATTTCCCACGTATATTTTGTAACAGTTATGGAATGTGTAGACCTTTTGAGAAAACTGAGTAATTTAATAAATTCTTACCATAATCACGTTTAAGTGGAGTTTCACACGGATGGACACAAATTGAAACTAAGCAAGTAGCAATTATACTATGATCATCATATGTCAATTTTCCTCAGGGTAATAAAATTATTTCATTTTCAATTTGATCTGAGGGCCCACAACCATCTCTTTCCCTAGTAAACTCAAATCTTGATGCTCAAGCACATTAGTCTGTCTCCTCCCTATAACTTTTTTCAGTGTTTGTGTTAGTTTATTTTTTTAACTCATTTTTTTTTTATCTGGTAAGCGTTTTTGGCTGGGTCCATGGTTTGACTCCCCATTAATGTTATTAAATTCATTTTTGGCTTCATCAAGGTGTACTTTGTTGATTAATAGACACTTAATAGTAACTTTCATTGTTGCATACAATAACACAGCAATGCTATGTTGCAGTTACAAATTCCAATGAGTGTATACCCCTGAAAGGTATGCAAGGTGCCAAGGATAGAGATGACTCAACAGAAACCATAGAAGGTAGTGACAACTAACATAATATTTATGCATCACACATTCTACTGACAAGCTTTTGGACAAAAATGAATCTACTTCAAGATATACATCTCTTGAGCAGACTTTTCTTCAAGAGGGGAGAATTAACAATCAGATCTTGGCAATCAAAGAGTTCACCCTTTAACTCTCCGGTTCTAACTCTTCATTCTCCTCACTAGCTGTCACACATTTCCCTTTAGTTTTGTTACAAGAATTTGGGGTGGGATCAAGATAACCTCTACCTGATAAATTTGATTATTCTCATAGACTATTTGCGGGATAATGTATGGATATTACAGGAAGAAGTTGCATGTTAATTAATTCAGGGATTTGGAGGGTTAAGGCTTTCCCAATTGTATGGTAATCAGCAAGTTGCTTTCTAGGATAACCGAAGTGCTTCTTAATTTTTTTCTCTTAGATGTGCTAGCAGATGGTGACCATGAGGAGCCTCTCACTAGTGAGCTTAGACAAGACCAGCCAAAAACTGATCTGATTCCAGCAGGTGAGGCATACATCCTGCCATTTGGTAGACCAAGTTGATTACTTGTTTATTCTTGTTATGCAATTAAGATCATGAAATGAGTGTGCTATTAGTCACTCAGATGTTGCATTTCATCTCTTACATGTACCCTCTTCTTAGCTTGGTGCAATAAATTGCACAATTGTAGCCCCATAATGGGTGTTAAAATGGAAGTAAACTCATCCCCTGAATTAGTCTGTTGTACCTGGACCACAGAGGCTAAGTTTCCGTCCACTGCCAAACATTGCTCTCTTAAAAATAAAGCAATTTTTAAACCTTGGGAATCCTTAACAATTAAAGCATGTCTTTTTCCACCAATAGTACTACAAAAAGCATATTTCATGTTACAACTCTAACCCCAGTATCGTTACTTTATTAATACTTTTATCCATTGAACTCTTAGATTGCAAAGTTTCCGAAATGCCACAGCTGCATAACCATCAAAATCAAATACTCTTGCACTATGTGCAAAGGATGCTGGATCCACTGGAGAAACAGACAAAGAAAAATTGGCGCTCTGTTGGGCAAATCTTGAATGTTCCAGAAGAAGACTTGGACTTGATAGAAACTGACTACAAAGCAGGAAGAAGTCCTACAGTTAGTCTTATTGATAAATTGAGCACCTTTCCAATAGTACCCTCAATAAGAAGCTTTGTAGAAGCTCTTGTTTCTTGCAAAAGGTATGATGTGGCCACCAATATTTGCAACTGGCCATGGGAGTTACGTACTATACAATGAGGGAAATTATTTAGCACACTTGAAACAAGAAATAAGTAACTGGCTGTAACCTGCGGCTGTTGGATCTACAGAGAGCCCCCCTCCAAAAAAAAAAATTCCCATTAACCTCTGCACAAAACAGGGCACATAGAACATGGAACTATATATAGACTGAAGGCTTCTAGAATCTCAATATGTTGTAAGCCAGGGAAAATGAAGGGACAATTTTTCTTATAAAGTATGCTGAAAGCCACTTTAAAAACACAAAGTTCAGTTGCAGGTAACTTTAAAAAATTATTACCTTCCCAGTTTCTTATTCAAAGAGTCATATTCAGACTTGCAAATGGCAATGCCATGTTTTACACAGCAAACTTTGCCCTGCATGATATTATGCTGGCTTTCTCTTAATCTTTTAATGACATTCTTGACATTAATCCTCTCCTATCAGCATCTTCTGTATACCCGTTTTTAAGTTAATAATAATAATAATAATAATAATAATAATGATAATAACCCCCAAAAAAGAGGAAAAACAAACAAACAAACAAACAAAAAAGATACAAATGGCTAAACAAAGCAGAAAGGAAAGAACCATAAAATTCCAGAAAGGAAGTTGGTCACAGCGCATATACTAAAATGGTTCAAAACCAAAATATACCACAAAGGAAATATTGGTCACCGAGCATACACAATAATGGTTCAAAACCATTTAAAAACCTAGGATGTGCCATTAAAGAGGAGCTTTGTGAAAACAAGGACATCAGTAAGAAGAAACAGTTACATACACATAATTGTTATTAATCACCACGAGTGGGTCATGTTCCTTGTAAATATTTTCAGGAAAAGAGTAGGTTGTGACTGAATATTTATAATTAGGACTTTATTTACTAGGTAATACTATTTAACAACAACCCAAAAGCCAACATTTCAATTTTGAATATTTCAAGGGCTTTTGGTAAAGAATCTTTGATCAGACTTTGATGGTTATATGTAGTGTTAAAATGTTTCCATTTATAGCTTTTGTGTGTCAAGTGTCATGATCAAAATTTTTTTCCCTGTTATAAATGATGATGCTGTATCTGGTGATAAATTATTACAAAATGAAATGTAACTCTAAGTGATATCTTTTTTATGAAAGAAGATGTATTTTTCTTGATGCAACATTATTTATGCTATTAAGTACGTGTAAATATTTACAATAAACTATTTTAAAACAGTAGATTATTTTTATATCTGTGCTATAAAAGGCATGGTAAGTACATCTTTATTCTGCTTACAATGTCAAGTGGTAAATGTTGATACCAAAGAAAAAAAAATAAATTCAGGTTCTGGAATCAGTGCCTGCACGGGCTGTATATCCACTGACCCAAGTAAGTGGGAACCTCTTGCTTTCTGCATCTTTTGATAACAGATGTGAAAGTTGGGACATTGGCAAGTCAGAACAGCTGTTATACAGGCAGGACTATATATTACTGTCAATGGTACACAAGCAAGTGAACTACAACAATACTGTTTGGAAATTTTATTATCACTGTGAATTAATCAGTATACAGAGAAGAAATCAGGTCCAGTCTTGGTTGCAAGACATTCCAGTTACACAGCTCTTGTTCAAAGACAACCTGGGAAAGAAGATAAAAAGATCACAAGTGCAGTGAATCCCATTTTGGCAAAGTTAACAGAGTTAGGAAGTGTGATTTTAATAGAAGAAAGCCTCAGTATTAATGTAGTCTTCAGAAGTAAATATCAGTGGATTATGACTGAATATATTAAGTCATCACTGGCTTTCAACTGGGGGTTTGAACACTGGGCATTATCTTCCAAACTAAGGATAATACCATCATGATCCACAACCTTTTCCATGACATTTTTTCACTGTTTTCTATTGTAAACAATCAGGGCTTGGCTGAAAATACTACAAAAATGATTATTTACTCAATATATTTCTCACCTTACTAAATGTATTCTGAGAAAATTATTGTCCATCTGTTCCCATGATTTCCATGGCAGAATCAAGTTTATGAATCAAGTATGATGGACCTAGAAAAATATGAATACAACTTTCATTTTCCTTTTATTTTTCTTTTATTTTTCTTTTTGACCAAAGCCCCCTTTACAATAGAACTTGAACTCTAAGAGAGGCAACTGCTCTGGTTTTCCACAAACTTTTAGTCTTCAGGATATGCAAACACAATGCACATACAATAATTCAGGGCGTGAAATTGATTTTTTTTTCTGATAGCCACTTGGCTCCTAAATTATTCAAAGCCAATTCAAAAAAAGTTGGTCGCCATTTTCAAAGACAAACAAACCCTTTTTTTACACTGTCATCGTTCTAGGAATTAAGTTAGGGAAAAGATCTTTAACGTACAACAAAGTGGACAATAGAATGGATGATATGCAACGTTTAAGCTCACCTAAATCCATCCTAAATCTAGTTATCAATTGAGATGCATGTGCTGTGTTTTGGAAACAAACTTGACGAGGAAGTTTGCTGGGGATTTATCTTTGCAAATCTTTTTAATTTACTACATCTCTAAGTAAGGTTATGATGAAACATTCTACTCGCCAATTTGGCAACTAATTTTCAGGATTTGGTTGCCAAAGTAAAAAATTTAGTCGCATTGGCACCTGTATTAGGCGCAATTTCACGCCCTGTAATTACCTTGTAAACTAAAGGAGCATAACACTTGATCCCAAATCACAACCTACATGTACAACATCAGTTATTTGATGAGACATAATGAGAAAATACCTCGCTATCACATGGAAATAGAATTAAAAATCAACAAGTAATCACGATTGACCAATTCTCCATTAAGGCTTCTCTGGGTCACCAAAATGCTAGTTCAGCAATCAACCACTTTGCCATCCTGCATATCTGTAGCATGCCTTAGTTGATCATTGACTTCCCACATCACAAACATATCATGTTTGATCTCTTATAATATTCAAACATACCAATTTGCAAGATTGTAACCAGAGAAGGATCTATCATTGAACCCCAAGAACTCTAATCTGTTGTTGTCAAAGTTTCAACTACAGTAATTGGTGCATTTTAACCTTTGTGCCTTATAGAACATCCCTGAAACAGTCTCCACAAAGTGGCCTCAGAAATTTTGGTGATATTTATCATCAGCTATATTCAAGAGTAGCAAATACTTTATGCATCATTGGCCACATCCATGATTGACAAACATCAAAATAAATACATCTTGTTAAAAATTTCAATTAAATCACAGGACCAGTAGAATCACTGCCATCAATTTTTTTTCAAAAAATCAAAGCACTCAATAATTAATTGATGAAAATTTTCAGATATACCAGGAATGAAAAGGGGAATCAATTAGCAATAAAATTTCACTTACCACGACAGTGGCTCAACTTCTGATCTTTAACCTGCCTGCTTTAAACCACTGGTATTCTAAACATCCAGGACAAAAAGGAAGAACAAGTGGTTAAAAAAATACAAATTTAAAAACCTTGTGTACAATTAAAGCCACAGAGAGGAGTTTTTAAGTTTAACCCTTTACTGTTTTCCCAACATTTCCTGAGGTGCTGATTAGGAGAATTTGTTTGACAATCAAGAGCTCCTTTAGCTGGCTATCATTTCCTTTATTCTTAGGACCTTAACCCTTTAACCCCTAGGAGTGACTAGCATCTAATTTCTCCTTACAATATCACTACTGAATCACACATCAGTGTTAAGAGAAGAGAGGAAATGATCACCAACTACAGAAACTCTTGATTGTTAGACAAATCCTCCTTGTCAGCACCTTGGTAAATGTACAGATAGACTTGTAGCATGATCATCACGCCCATTCAGGGTTGTTCAGAAATATTTGAAAATATCTTGATCAGCAATGGACAGATTGTTTTCAAACTTGTCATTTTGCTTCTCTGATGATTGCAGTTTAATAAAAAATAACTGTGTTGTCTTTTGGAATAATGTAAGAATTGAAAAATATTAAAGATACTGGAAAATATACCCAAATTATAAATGTAACGCGTAACATCTCATTTGCATAAACCCGAAAATAAAGGTAAATTTCGTACTCAAAACAACATCAATTAGACACTTCCATTATGCTCATTTATTGAGTAGGGCTTAAATACACCTTATGCCAAGAGACAGCGTTAAATGTTCGTTTTTAAAAGAACAGGAATAAAAAACTTGAAGACAGTCGCTGTTGTTTGCTTGTGTAACGCAGCAGATCCAACAGAGCTTTAAATGTGCGGGTCTAGCATCTTGAATATACTACAAAGAAAGTTGATTCGTCTGAGTAAGGTTCAAACACACCCTCATCTAAACTAACTTTTAAAAGAGCTAACTGCAAAGAAGAAATAAGTGATTTTTGGTTTCGGAAACGAGTTATTGTTTATTTTTAAACACGGAAAATCAAACACCACTTACCTGCAAAAATGCCCGTATTTCAGCATCAGGCTGAGACAACTCCCAAAGTTCATGTGTTCGACTACAAATCAAAGTTTTACAGCCATACATACAATACAAACGAAGATATTCAAAGCAAACTAAATGACTTTGTGTTTATCAATGTGTAACGATCAAATTTCAAGCCCGCTCTACATTGAAATCTGGCACAAATAGGTCGAAAAATAAACTTCGCCTGATTTTCTCGTTGAAATCAAGCAACAAACATCGAAGGTCTTCTAAGTAACTTCTCCTCTATGTATGCGGGGAGTTCTTATGGATAATTCAGGGGATGTGTGTGGAGAACTAAAGAGAAAGAGGAATAACATTTACAAAGTCCCTGTAGATGTCAATGAAGAAATAATTGCTTCTTTGTAAATCTAGAGATGGAAATATAGTAACTCAGCCATTATGGCTAGTGAAATCTCGTGATACTAGTCAAATGCCACGCCCGCAAAGGATTGTGGGTAATCAGTAATTAAGCTTCAAAAACCGAACAAACATTAGACTTTTTAGAAGTAAATTAGGTATATCTACCAAATAAAAGTATTTTTGGCATACTTTTTACATTTTCATGAAAATACCCTATGTTACTCATTTGGGCATGATGATTGTGCTACAAGTCATAACAGTATGGAGAATATGAATATTGATGTTAGGGTATAAAGGGTTAATGTTGGATTCCAAGATGATGCTGTAAGGAGAAGTTAAAAGCCAGTCATTCTCAGGGGTTGAAGGCTTAAAGATCATGACATGTACCAAACAATTTGAAAACAGGATACCAAATACAAGAGGTGCATCAGGCAAAACCAGATTTTCTAATCAAGTCACAGAGTGACTTTATTATGTCCCTATTCTGGAGGTCATCACTTGCACCAGACTCAACAATACAAGTTGTCATCACATGTTGATCATGCTTACCTCACCTCAAAAATCTTGCTTGGTTAGGTCTTGGCAGTGTACCTAAGATAAGTACCCCATTGTTAGACAAAGAAAAGGAATTTCAACTTTTTCAGTTAAACCTTTTTGGTGGTTTCAGATAGGGGCGAAGTTTATCGTCACCATCAATCAGCTGAACTATGAACTCATCACGAACCACACCAAGTAATGCAACAGCTTGAAAACTTCCTTAAAAACATTCAAGGCCAGCCTCTCAGAGGAGCAAGTCAAGAAAATCTATGATCACTGATGACTTGTAGCAGAGGCAACTGTATTATTATTTTATAATTTGACTTTACCTCACCTCATTACAAACACAAATAGGAACCACAAAAATAACAGCTGTGCAAATTTCTTATGCCATTCACTCCCTGAAACAAAAACAATTAGCTTCAATTAGAATGAGACACGCAGTTGTTTGTTAGACACCAGAAAGAAACTTGGAAGTTTTTTCAATCAGACCTTAGGGGCGGTTTCATATAGGGGGGAAAATTATCATCATCAGCAATCGGCTGAACTATGAACTCATCACAACCCACATTAGGTAAGGCAAAAACTTGTAGACTTCTTTGAATATGAAGAAGGCCAGCCTCTTACAGGAGCAAGTTAAGAGAAAATCTAAGATCACAAATAACTAAATCACTTTGTTGAAAACAGAGAGCCTTATTTACAGAGATTTAACCCTTTACGCACTAACATTAGTAGTTATATTTTCCCCACTGTTCACCACACATTTCTAATAGTACTGACTAGGAGAATTTGTCTGACAATCAGGAGCTTCTTAAAGTTGTGATCATTTCCTTTATTTACATGACCTTTGCATTTGATATAAAGGAGAAATTAGCAGCCATCACTCTTAAGAGATTAAAAGATTAAATATCATTTAGATGTAATTTGCATGTTTTTGGATCAAATTACCACCTACCCCAAAAGAAAACCACACCAAGCTTTGCAAGTTTCTCCATTCAAAAGCTCCCTGAAACAAAAAGAATAGCAGATTTAATTAGGATGTGCATGTACCACATTCAAGAACAGGGTTAGGCATGTTAACTACATGATTCTAACCCCTTGTTATCACAGACACAGTGTCAGATAGAGCTAATGTCAACCTCATTACAAAAATGTTCAGTTGAACTATGCAGTCATCACACACCAGTCATCAATCAGAGCTCTCTTAAATACTGAGAAGGGGAATACTTGATTATCTACATGTAGTAGAGCATATGCAATCTTGAATGACAAAAATTAACGTATCTACTTCTATCAATAGTCTACTGAGTCTGATAATTGATGACACTCACTTTGTTCAAGGAAAATTGAGAGTAAGAATCCAGGGCAGCTTTTCTAGCATGATGTGACGATGAAAACAACGATGACAGCACACCCAGTAAAATCTACCCTCAAATCTTGTTGGACACATCCTGCATTGGCTCATGAAATGCACCACTGACCTTGGACATTGAAACATACTTAATATAAGTGTATGAACACCTGCCCTAAACAGAAATAATTTAATTTAAAATTCTCTGTGACCTGAGCAGTCTTAACCCTTTGGCTCCCAAGATCTAATTGTTAATTCTCCCCTCTAGCTTCTACAAATTTCCTTGTAAATTAGTAATGAGAATGTAGTGTTAGATCAAGATGAAAACTTCCACCTGATAAGTCTGAGTATTCTCATTACCTAAGGTATGGATATTATAGGGAGAAGTTCCATGTTAATCACTTCTGAGAGTTGAAGGGTTGAAAAAGGTTAAGTCAGCTCTTGCACTTTCAGACTGTGTAAGAGTGCCTCAGCGATCTTGGTGGGAAAAGTTGTCATCACATCTCAATGATCAACTAGCAAATATTGAAATCATCACTGGCACAAGAAACACTGTCAATACCAATGAATCACACACACTTGAAAAACACAACAATGGTAATTTTAACTCCACCCCAAAAACTAATTTGAATCCAATATTTGAAAACTTCTTACCGGTTTGCCTTTCTCTGAACTGTTATTCACTTTGACCTTTCTCTGTAAAGTAGAGAAACGACCGAATCAGCACAATTTTTTTTCAATCACTTTTGTAACCATGAAAAATATTTAACAAAGTTATCATGCATCAGGCCTATCGATCACACATCACAAAGCTTCCGATTTCAAAGCCTTCTGTGTCATAGGTTATTTCATCAGGTGCACATAACAGATACTGGGGTATTCTCATTACTAAGTAGCATGAAAAACAGATTAGGGACCAGTTGTTGTTTATCCCCTGGTGTGAAGGGGGTGGGGGTCTACAGACATTTTGAGAAGGGATAATATGGCTCTCAAGGGCAACCCAGGGGGTCAGTTCTCACCAACAGAGTACAGCACCTTATGGGAGGATCAGGTAAATTCTGTTCTGACAACCAAAATCCTCAGACCCCCCCCCCCCCTTTCACCCCAAGCAATAGAGGACCTAGGGGACTTGTATTGCTACATTGAATTTTCACTGATATCTTAGATACTAAGCAACTGAAGTTCAAGATAACTGAAATTTTTGCTAGGAACTCTTTTTCCATTTTCTCTTCAAGCAGAAGAAGATTAAGAGGGAAGGAATCCTAATATACTCCAACTTCCTGACTTGTCAAATCATACAGTAGCCAGCTTTATAGAAGTATAAGGATACTTTCAGCAAATCTAAATATAATAACACTTACTGACACCTGACTCACATGCCCAATTTTTTCATTTGATTAGGGATGGTTCAATTTTGGAGTGTGTTATTTTGCCGAATTTTATACTGCTGGAACTGATTTTTGCATATCAAGGACTGTTTGCATGAGATAGATTGTCTGCAAAAACTGAAACTCACATAATCGATATGCTTCACCATGTCATAGTCTTGCAACAGTGGTATGACATGTAATGCACAAATTAACTGTCTTTGCTACTAAAAATAGCTCACTTAATCAAAGCATTAGAACTTACCTTTTAGGAAGGGTTGTCTGGAGTTTTCACCTAATGGGATAAAGGATGTATTTGAAATTTCAAAGAGTAAAAAAACTAAAGTGGGGCTGTTTTTAGAAGGACAGAAAAAGTGTACCTTCAGTTAACACAGTCATGATTCTCTTCACTGACGCACTAAGAGAGATTCCCATTTAACAAGTTCATCACTGGTACACAGTCAACTCACTGTTCTCGCTTGATGCCGTGATTATTTTCATTCTATCACAGTCATCACCACAATCTCAATGATCTTTCCATCTGGTTCTTAGTTCTCATTGGGAAAGAGTTTCATGATTATGGCGAACAATACTTGAGAGAGATCATTTACCTTTGAAAACGACTGTTTAAGATAAACGAAATGGTCGACTTCGTACTCTGCATTTCATTTAATGAATCGTAATACCACGTGCTCTTGGTCTAATGTGCTCATTAACGGGACAATCTACACTGAAACTTTTTTCAATTTGGGTAACTACAAAAGACAGTTCAAATAAAAAAGTTTATACACCTTTAGCAAAAATGACATCAATCAACTTATAACGACTTCAATATATAGTACCTTGCGTCGGTTATCAATAGGGGAGCTGGAGCGCCATCTTGGAAACGACCTTGAGACTTTAAGTTTCACCCCATTTAAAAATGGGGCGAAACAGCGCGTAGTATGAGTCTGCGCTTTTCTAACGAGCAGTTGAGGTCTTGAACAGATATCACGCACAAAAGTAAGCAATATTTTAAAGCAGTTCACTACATCTACTTGTTGCCATTCACCCTCAAGTCGTACCTTACAACCTCGTGGGCCGCGCTTTGTACGTTAAACCTCGTTTCCACACATCACTTATCATCGTCCCGGTGAACAACGAATTTTACCGGAAAAAGCCGAAGATTCATCGTAGAAAAATGATCTTACTGTTAATATTTCCTTATCTTCTTGAAAAAGAATTCTATCACATTCGCCCCGAGAAATTTGATTTTATTTGAAAATCACGCATGTTTCGTTTGAAGTTAGACAAAATAAAGCTATTTGATGAACATGCAATTCCTTTTTCAGTTTGAACGTGACTTGTGAGTCATTTTGGGGGTTCAGGGAAACCGGAAGTAAGCTGTGGCAAACTCTTGCTTTGACACGACAACCGAACTTCATCCGAGCAAAATGACGAAACTCTATGGCGTGGACCAATCAGAATAGGCCACCAGGAAGCAGCTTGGCCAATCAGTGAGGGCCACGCGTGATGGCGAGCGAAATATCAACCGGCTCGAGTCTTCCTTGTCAATAATTTTGTGTAGTTTTCTGAGAGTTTGAACTGTGTCAGAGTTGTCGGAAGAAAAATTCAACTAGATTCCAAAGATGAGATCAATTTGCACATTCTGTGCGTTAGCCTTAGCTAGCAGTTTAATTTTAGTGAACGCAGAAGAAGCAAAAAAGGAAGAAAAAGACGGCAAAAAGGATGTAGGAACTGTAATTGGTATCGATCTTGGAACAACTTATTCTTGGTGAGTAAAGTAACTGATGTGGGAATCTTGAAGTGAATTTTTTTTCTCTAGTATTCGATCGTTTTCTTGTTATCTTTCCGAAGCGTTCAGTCTCGGAAAAGTCGCTAAAAGTTGATTCTTCGGTTGAACTTCTTTTCATGTCCTGAATGTTACAGTGGACTCGTAGCTTTAAACCGATCGTGTAAATTGCGTAATCTTTGATTTTCACTATACTCAGTCCTAAATTATATCTCTTTCAATGTTGCAGTGTTGGTGTATTTAAAAATGGCAGAGTTGAGATCATCGCAAACGAACAGGGAAACCGAATTACCCCATCTTACGTGGCCTTCACTCCAGAGAACGAGCGTCTCATTGGTGATGGAGCGAAAAATCAGCTGACTACAAATCCAGAAAATACTGTTTTTGACGCGAAACGGTTGATCGGTAGGACATGGGATGATAAAGCTGTTCAAGGCGACATCAAGTTCTTCCCATTCAAAGTTATCGAAAAGAACAAGAAGCCACACATTCAGATTTCGGTGAAGGGAGAACAGAAAACATTTGCAGCTGAGGAAATCAGTGCTATGGTTTTAACGAAAATGAAGGTAAGATCAACTGATGGTTTAAGGGGAAAAAATTAAGAAATGTTGTAGAAAGATTTGAAACCGAGCATTAGACCCTTGAAGGTGCTTATTCCTTTTAAGGTTACCGGTGCTGCGATCTTAAATAATGACTTCACAGGTTCAGGGAAATTTATTTATAAACATTAACTTAATTATTCAGTTAGGTTTTCAAATTGATGGTTATTTTATCACATGTATCCAATGTCTTCACTGTAGCTTTACTGGTACTCAAATGAACCCTTAACAATCTAATATCACTATCCATATTCTCCTAAATCTTCTCCATACATATCCTTGGGTACAGATAAGGAGAATTTGTCAAATAATCAAAACATATTGGGTTGGTGATCATTTCCTTTATTCTCATGCTCTCAGTGAATGACTTGGCAGTATTACTGTGACAAGGAATTGCATGCTAGTCACTCTTTGGGTTGAAAGGGTCAATACATATGAGTTTCCTGATATGTGTTGCATAATTTCAACTAACTTTGAAAACAGGTAAAGGTGATACCCATGGTTCTGGGGCTCCCTCATCATTTCATGACAGAGTGTTGCCCCGCGTTGTTCAAAGACAAAATAAGGTTGAGCATGAGATAGATTGGCTTGCATTAGATTCACTTCAAGCTAAAAATAGTACATTATTTAGTGGTTTATGTTTTATCTCTTGGAAAGCCTCATCCTATTATTCGTCAACAACTGACCCACCAGCCATAATTGCTTTTTTTAACCCTTTAACTCCCATAAGTGATCAAGACAGAATTTCTCCTCACAATATTAACTTAATATCAAGTATACAAGTGATGAGAATAAAGGAAAATATCAGTCAGGGATTATTTGTTGATCCAATACCAAATTTTCTGAACTAACTTTACAAGAACCTTATGGAAGAGAGGAAGAAGAATTAGGGTTGTCTGGACCTTAAACAGGCATTGTAACAAACCCCAGGTTTCCAAATTTTGACAAATGAGTTGTAGTATTTCAGATTTGGTTGGCATACTCCTTCTTTTGCCCTGATGTAACTGAAATTATTGACCTTGTAGGAAATTGCGGAAGCCTACTTGTCAAAGAAAGTTACACATGCTGTGGTTACTGTCCCTGCCTACTTCAATGATGCTCAGCGTCAGGCTACCAAGGATGCTGGAACCATTGCTGGCCTTAATGTGATGAGAATCATCAATGAGCCAACAGCTGCTGCCATTGCTTACGGTCTTGACAAAAAAGAGGGAGAAAAGAACATCTTAGTGTTTGATCTAGGAGGTGGAACCTTTGATGTGTCTCTTCTGACTATTGACAATGGAGTTTTTGAGGTGGTAGCCACCAATGGTGACACTCATCTTGGTAAGTTGCTTTGATATGAAGATTGTAGTGAATGGTTAACTTTCCCTGGTAATACTTCAATCAAGGAAAGTTCCTGAAAGAGATCGTATTGAATTGTTTACAAGGTCAACTAACAGCCAAAAATAAAATGCAAGTCAAAAGTCTTGATATTTAATGTTACTTTTCAATTCGTAGAATTTGATTTGTTACAGTACTCCTCCTCTCTAACTTTTATCCTGTATCTTTATCTTGGTAGGTGGTGAAGACTTTGATCAGAAAATCATGGAATACTTCATCAAGATGTACAAGAAGAAGAAGGGCAAGGACATTCGCAAGGACAACAGAGCTGTTCAGAAACTGCGTCGTGAAGTTGAGAAAGCTAAACGTGCCCTTAGTACACAGCACCAGGCTAGAATTGAAATTGAATCATTCTTTGATGGAGAGGACTTCTCAGAGACTTTGACAAGAGCCCGCTTTGAGCAGGAAAATAATGTAAGTGGAAAGATATTTTGTTCACCTTCATTTTTGATGGGCCCTTCCTTTTGAATGAAGTAAGTCTGTTGTTAGATACTTGGTGAAGATTCTGACATTTTATGTAAACATTTTCTGGCACTGTTAAGCATGTTTACTCATTTTCTCTTTTTCTCTTTCAACTGGTTGCTTTAGTTATTGTTTCTTATAGTAATGTCACTTAATATTTGCAGGATGCTTTCAAATCCACACTGAAGCCAGTGAAGAAGGTTTTGGAAGATGCTGACCTGCAGAAGAAAGACATTCATGAAATTGTTCTTGTTGGTGGCTCCACCCGTATCCCAAAAATCCAACAGCTTGTCAAGGAGTTCTTTGAGGGTAAAGAGCCAAGCCGTGGCATCAACCCTGACGAGGCTGTAGCTTATGGAGCAGCTGTTCAGGCCGGAGTATTGGGTGGAGAAGAAGATACTGGAGAAGTAGTGCTTCTTGATGTTAATCCCCTTACTTTGGGTATCGAGACTGTGGGTGGAGTTATGACCAAGCTCATTAACAGAAACTCCGTCATTCCAACAAAGAAGGCACAGGTATTCTCCACAGCTGCAGACAACCAGAACACAGTTACTATCCAGGTTTATGAAGGTGAGCGACCCATGACCAAAGACAACCATCTTCTTGGCAAATTTGACCTGACTGGAATTCCTCCTGCTCCTCGTGGTGTACCGCAGATTGAGGTCACCTTTGAAATTGATGTCAATGGTATCTTGAGAGTGTCAGCAGAGGACAAGGGCACTGGAAACAAGGAGAAGATCACAATCACCAATGACCAGAACAGGCTGTCTCCAGAAGATATTGAACGTATGGTAAATGATGCAGAGAAGTTTGCTGACGACGACAAGAAAGTTAAGGAACGTGTGGAAGCACGGAATGAGTTGGAGAGCTACACATACTCATTGAAGAACCAGGTTGGTGATAAAGAAAAGCTTGGTGGAAAACTTTCCGAAGAAGACAAAGAAACAATCAACAAAGCTGTAGAGGACAAGATTTCCTGGCTTGATAAGAATGCTGATGCTGAGGCAGAAGATTACAAAAAGCAAAAGAAAGAGCTTGAAGACATTGTTCAACCTCTTGTTAGTAAGTTGTACCAAGGACAAGGAGGCCCAGGTGGGGAGGGAGCTCCTCCACCTGAGGAGAAGCCTGAAGAGGAGCAAGATAAAGATGAGCTTTAACTTGGCTTATGGTAGAAAAAGAGACTTAAACAATTTGTACCCTTATACAATCGGGGCACACTCTTTTTACAATTCTAAAAAGCACTTTGAAAAATTGGTGAACATTGCTTGGTGGTTATGTTGTTAATCACTTTGATCAATGAAATGTCTGTGCTGCTAAAGGACATGAAACAGAAAGGAAAGTATAATATAGTGTGTACAGCTTGTTGGTAAATCAGTTGATTATTCTCTCGCTCTTTTCATCCATTGTAAAACTCTCAATAGTTTGGGTTCTTGGAGGGCATCAGACTACAAACAATTCCTTTTATTTATCCCTTTACCCTCTCAATTTGAATTTCAAGAGAGCTAGAAAATTTTTTCATTAATAAAAAATAACTACATGTACATTTGTCTTCTTCTACGAGTTTACACGATAGTACTAATGTATGATAGCAGTTTCCTGTTTTTGGAAACTTTGCATTGCCTTATGGGTTGCATAGAGGTTAAAGTGTAGAAAACGGGGGGTAATTATTGCAATCCCAAGTTGGTCACTCTTAGTAGCAACTTCTTATCTGTAAATCTTCGATTCAAAATCCTTACCTACCTTAACTTTTTTACCACTAATATCCTGAAACTTTGCAACCCCATACTGGTAAATAGTGAAAATGCAATCCCGTGATAGTCAATCTAGTTTCAAGAACCTCAGTGGCGCATCACCATTAGCCCACCACTACAGGCTCCTTCCTCTCACTCCCACCCCTCTCAGCGAGGCGTAAAAAAGGTGGATTGAGACCCAGAAAATTATGGTACGTTCGGTTACTTGTGACGTGTTGTCCTCCAGAAGACCAAGTGTACTGACCTTTTTGTCAGTTAAGACTGCAGAAGCACAGGGTATGATTCGCTTGAGGAAATATATTTTTCAAAATTATCTGGTAATTGAGGTCACAATTGAAGCTGACTCTGCTGCTAGCAGCATATTCCCATGGCTTTCAACACTACATGGCCCTCACAGTTGTCGATGGGCTTGCAACAATCAACACCAGAAAGTCTGGAGTCAAGAGTGTGTGATAGCTTGAAACATCGCCCTAGATTTGACTTCTGCGGGATTTTCCCTCTTCCGTTAAACAATAGTAGGGAAAACTCTGTTTACAAGCGGTTGAGGGAATCCCAGACACTCGGAATCCTGAGTTAAGATTGAATGGAGGGATTGGAGTGAATGTGATTGTGAGAAATTGAAACTCTCATAAGATTGGATACACCATACAGATAATTCAAAAGGAAAAACTTTCAGACACTTTTGCGCCATGAAAACGTCAATTTCATCTTGTACAACTGCAAAGCTTTATGTTTATTTCATTTTTATCTCTTCGCTTAAACGACCATCAAACGACACTGTCTTAAAGAACAAGACTGTAACATAAAGAGACGTTTTCTTCGTTACGTCAGGATACGATGGATAACCTAAATACAATGGTACAATTCAATATTTTTCTTGCAATAATATACCGCCATATTCTTTCACTCTTAAATCTTTAACAACATCAGTATCGATATTCTCAATACTCGTCTCTTCTCTATACATTTCCTTAGGTATTGAAACGGAGAATTCGTTTAACAAGCAAAGCTTCTACGGTTGGCGATCATTTCCTTAATTCTTTTGATCTTAATGAATGATTTAGCAGTATTACTGTAAGGGGAAATTAGATACTGGTCTCTCTTAGGGTTTAAAGGGTTGAGGGAAGATAAAATTAAACGCCGTATTTGAGTATGATACAACAAAGGCATTTTGCGACTGTCGACTAAAATACACCAAAGTCACCGAGTCGTTTCGTAAGGCAAAATAATTTTGATTGTTTTTGTTCCTTGAATTTTTTTTAGCATGCAGATATTTTTTATTATGACGTAAATAGCTTTGTAGCGAGCTGAATAGTTTGTAAACTATGCTGTCTATACTTTGTACATATATTCCACACTTCAACTACGACGTAACATAAGCCTTCAGCACAACTGAGCTTCTGACTAAGCAAAATATATACAGGGCTACAACTTCTATGAAGTCCAAATCAAACCAGTTCAAGAACCTGCAAAAAATAAAAAAAGTAAAAAATTAAAAAAAAAAGCAAAAAATTAAAAAAAAAAAAAAAAAGCAACGCTGCAAATGAGCCTTTAAAAATAACTCTGCATTTTTCTTGAGGTTCGTAACCAATTACAGCAACCTACGAACGAGAATAAACTCTGCGTTTGGTTGTTTGAGCGATTTTTAACCATCCATTATCTAGAAGTTATTAAAATGGAACTTCTCCCCACAAGATCGATACATTTAACAAATAACAGGTGATGAGGGTTTAGATACTCGTCGCTTAGATGCTCCCTAAATATTGAATTTATAGGAACATGTTGAGCATTTCTAAGCCGGATAATTACTTATCACATCAAAGTTCAAAAGCGGAGGACAGACAAGAAAAAAGAAGAAACGGGCTGGAAGAGGTAATATAACAAAAAGAAAAGCGCCGTAAATCACGGCTCGTTAACAAATGCCACCGTACCTTAATTGTTCCTTGACTATTTGCGGCTACAACTACATTGGATCCCTGTTAAGAAAGCGACAAAAAGGCATATTAATGTGCACCTCGTACGATTAAAAATACGATTGGCTGGGTAAGTGCGCCGCCAGCCTCGTTTCTAGGTTTAGAAGTACCCTCAGATCGAGGCCGCGGGTCACTAGTCATCGGTACGCGTGCTTGCCGGCGCTGCGTGACCGGAAATTCGGTCTCTTGAAAAACTACATCGGTAATGTAGCTGCTTATTCGCCAGATTGACTGTGCTCTCCAAAAAATTTCAGTTATCTTTACAATGGTTCACTGCTCACTTGAATTCTTGTTCTTAGAAAGTCAACTACTTCAATCTGCCCTAGTGGAATAAAAACTTTTTTCGCTAACTTCTTGTGGGTTAAATTTCTACCCCTTTGCCTTTACACTTTGAAGTACCTTATATCTTAAGTATTTTTGATGCTGAAATAACTACCGGTAGTACTCTCTAGGTCATTGTCTAAAGACAAAGATTCACTTACGGTTCTCCAGCAAACCGCGCTCACAAATTCATTCGCATCGTCTTCTTTCTTATCTTTCTCCTACAAAACCGTAAAGCAACGAAATACCTAAGCAGATGTAGCAATGATCAACTGAAGAGTGGTTGTTATATAGACCATGCGCGTAAAGGATAATGTCGGATCAATGTCAATATCTGAGCAACTGCGCACCTACCCCTCCCCTAACCCAACTAGGGGAGGGGTAGTTGCGCAATAGTTTAGGTTTGATTCGTAAGCTGCTTTCTCGCCCAGTGCAGATGACCTAGATTCAACCAATACCCTTGAAGTGATTTTCAGTCTAGTACAACCAAACTGGCAAATCAGCACAAAATGTGACGAGGGGAACCAATGGGTTGTCAGATCCACAACATTTAACTGCCAGAAGTGCGGGAAAATACAGGGAGCAAATCGTGATGCGTTTTGGCAAATCGTGATGCGTTTTAGCAAATCGTGATGCGCATAAGATTGGCTAGAAGGGTGGCACGCGTTTTCTAGACCAATCAGAGTAAAGGAGGTAAGTTTCTAAAGAGGTTGTGGTGCTGCGTTGGTGGGAGAGTATATCAAGATAATTTGGTTTTATTAACTGAGTTGTTTGTGTAAATTGGCCACCGTTAGGGCTTTCTTAAGCTGTTTCGAGCCAACGTTCGAAGCGTCAGCTCTAAAAACTCTTTACAGTGACCAGTTTACGTTATCAACTCAGGTGATGAAACCAAATTAACTAGAAGCCCGCAGAATAGGCGTCATTTTTGCGTTTTTCAAGACCAGAAGAGGAAGGCGCAAGGCAGGGCGCCAAACGCGAGTCACGAGCTACTGCCTCGCGTGCGATCCACCCAAATTTAAGTTAGTATCTATTTGCGGATTGCAACTCACCAAAACACTCCTTACAGTATCAAACTTGAATGTTAGCAGCTGTTTGGAAAGTCCTTTGTAGTACAAGTAAAGTGAATTGTTTTCACTCCCTGTGAGGAAAAGGAAAAAAGTCCAAGGTTAGTTAAGTTTTTGGATGTCGCTCGCCGAAATCGCCATAAAAGCGTCGCCAACAGAGTACAAAGGGGAAACTGTAGAAAATTGACGGTCCGCTAAGGAAAACTTTCTGTTTTCCGCCCTAATTAAGTGGTCTCTCTCCAACCATTTACGACTACAGCTGTTCTGACATGTTTAACTAACATGCGGAAACAATTACAAATTATCGTTATTTTAAAGAAGATACACTGGCCAGTTTACCGCAGGCAATGTAGTCTCCATTGGAAGCCAGCCCAACGAAGTTCTTTTCATTAATATGGCCTTTAAAGGTTCGAAGACAATGCGGCTTGCTGATATTCCAGAGCTTTAATTGACTGTCTGTGGATCTAAAAAAAAAATCAAAATTAATTAAAAATAAAAAGATTAAGAAATAACTCGGATCAAATCCTGCAAACAGACACAAACGAGTTGCCAGTAAAAAAAACGTTTTTAGGCAACCAAAAAGTACACTTTCTGGGAAAATGAAGAACAGTACTACTGCAATAACGAATGTCGTTCGCTAGAGCGGAAGTTGTCACCGGAAGTTGTCAAGTTGTCAGTGAGTAGAATCTGTTGGTCCGACGTTCTAGTTCCAAGTCTGGCTCGTGAAGCTGGATTGGTCAGTTTTGCCATGATGTTCTGAGCCCTACCTTCACTTAAACAATCACACCACACGATCAAACTAACAAAGCGTTTTGCTTTTCCATTGATTGTCGTAAAACCAAAACCAAATAAATCACAACCACCCATCAGAGGAAAGGGAAATAGTAGAAGGGGTCAATAAGGACTCGGGTTGAAAACAAGCAAAGACACAACTGGTTTTAGATTTACATCTGATTGGTTGACAGGATGGCGGAAGTTTCCTCGACCAATCACAGAGCAAAGTAAAGCAAACCCAAATACAACCACGGGCTACTTTCGACTTTCAATTAAAACTTGCACTGTGATACCGGAGGTCTGATATTGCGAACTTTGAATTCTGGTACTAACGCCAAGGAAATAATGCGTCGTTGTACAATGCTTTGACTAACCTATCTCGTTCCGACAGGTGAATAAAGGGGGTAAGTTTCTAAAGAAACTGTGGTGCTACGTCGGTGGGAGAGTATAACAGGGTGATTTAGTATTATCAACTGACTTGATAACGTAGATTGGCCACCGTAAAGAGTTTAAAAGCTGACGTTTTGAGCGTTAGCCCTTCGTCAGAGCGATTCATTTGACGCTCGAAACGTCAGCTTTTAAACTCTTTACGGTAGCCGATTTACGTTATCAACTCAGTGGATAATACTATATTACCTCGTTCCGACAGGGTTTAACG